TCGCGCAAAAGGCTGGTCACCCCGTGCCTCACATCGGCAAGGGTATGGGGTTCGTCGTTGGTATCACCTGCATGCAGGCACTGCAGAGCTTGTGCACGAATCAGTTCCTGTATCGGGGTCAAGTTGTCGGTGGGCAGATCCGCGCGGTGCTTATTTCTCACATCTTCAATAAGGCAATGAAATTATCTGGTCGTGCTAAGGCTGGAGGTCAAGCTACCCCAGAAGAAGCCAAAGCCCTGGAGGCAACCAAGGATGCTCTCTTAAAGCCTGAAGAGAAGGTGAAGCAACATCAGCCTGATGCTGCGCTGCCTGCACGTGGTGGCGTTGCAGGTGATGGCCGTGGATGGAACAATGGTCGCATCACTGCTCTCATGAGCATTGACGTGGACCGAATTAACCTGGCTTGTGGCATGTTCCATATGATCTGGACAGCGCCAATTTCCATCATAGTGACACTGGTCCTTCTCTTGGTCAATATTGGCTATAGTTGCTTGTCTGGTTACGCACTGCTGATAATCGGAATGCCGTTTTTGACTTTGGCTGTGCGATCCTTGATCAGCCGGCGACGGAATATCAACAAGATTACAGACCAGCGTGTATCTCTCACCCAAGAAATTCTACAAGCTGTGCGCTTTGTGAAGTTCTTCGGTTGGGAGAGCAGTTTCCTCGGCCGTCTGAAAGAGATCCGTGGACGAGAAATTCGATCCATCCAGACCTTACTTGCCATTCGAAACGGCATTCTTTGTGTGTCGATGTCTATTCCTGTTTTCGCCTCGATGTTGGCTTTCGTTACCTATGCACTGTCAAATCACAACTTGGATCCCGCGCCGATTTTCTCTTCGTTGGCGCTGTTCAATTCCCTGCGGATGCCCTTGAACATGCTGCCACTGGTTATCGGCCAAGTGACGGATGCTTCGACTGCTTTTAATCGAATTCAGGAGTTCTTGCTCGCCGAAGAACGAAAGGAAGATATCGAGCGGGATGAGAATATGGAGAATGCAATCGAAATGGAACATGCTTCGTTTACCTGGGAACGCCTTCCGACAGACGAAAAGGAGGCAGACAAAATCGAGAAGAAGGCAGCTGCACGCCCCGAGCCAACAGTGAGATCAACACCTGAAGACGACAGCGCCGATGAAGCTCCCACAGAGCCATTCAAACTCAAGGACATGACCTTCGAAGTTGGCCGACATGAACTGTTGGCCGTAATTGGAACAGTCGGTTGTGGCAAGAGTTCCTTACTCTCGGCCCTGGCGGGCGATATGCGTGTAACTGACGGTGCTGTACGTCTGAGCACCACACGCGCGTTCTGTCCCCAGTACGCCTGGATCCAAAACACCACCGTGCGCAACAACATCCTATTCGGGAAGGAATATAATGAGTCTTGGTATGAGCAAGTGGTCGATGCATGCGCTCTGACCCCGGATCTCGAGATCCTACCGAATGGAGACCAAACCGAGATTGGTGAACGAGGTATCACTGTGTCTGGTGGACAGAAACAACGTTTGAATATCGCTCGAGCCATATATTTTAATGCGGAACTGGTCCTCATGGATGACCCTTTGTCAGCTGTCGATGCACACGTCGGTCGTCACATCATGGACAAGGCAATCTGTGGTTTGCTGAAAGATCGCTGCCGAATCTTGGCGACGCATCAACTGCATGTTCTCAGCCGATGCGATCGAATTATTGTTATGGATGAGGGACGGATCAATGCCGTTGATACATTCGACAACCTGATGCGCGACAACGAGGTCTTCAAGCGGTTGATGTCTAGTTCTGGACAGGAGGATATGCAAGATGAAGAGGAAGAGGTGGTGGGCGAAGTCGTGGATGAAATAGACGAAAAGGAGCCAAGTTCCAAGAAGGCCGCCCCACAGAAACCCGTCGCAGCCCTGATGCAGCAAGAAGAAAAGGCCACCGAATCCGTCGGCTGGAGTGTCTGGAAGGCTTATATCAAAGCCTCCGGCAGTTATTTCAATGCCATCATAGTATTCATCTTGCTCGGCCTTACGAATGTCGCCAACATCTGGACCAGTCTGTGGCTGTCCTACTGGACTTCTGACAAGTACCCGGGTCTGTCGACCGGCCAATACATTGGAATTTACGCTGGACTGGGTGGCAGTGTTCTTCTCTTGATGTTTACTTTCTCGACTTATATGACCATCTGCGGTACGAATGCTAGCAAGACTATGCTTCAGCGTGCGATGTCTCGTGTGCTCCGCGCGCCTATGGCTTTCTTCGATACTACACCGCTTGGACGAATCACCAACCGCTTCTCGAAGGATATCCAGGTGATGGACAATGAACTTTCCGACGCGATGCGTATCTATGCCCTGACGATGACTATGATTATCTCTGTGATGGTCTTGGTCATAGTGTTCTTCTATTATGTGAGTACCCTTTCCTTGGAATTTGGGCATTAGTGATGCAAGATCGGCTAACTCCTCTAGTTCGTCATCGCACTTGTCCCGCTATTCATACTGTTCCTTCTAGCCTCGAACTATTACAGAGCATCAGCTCGTGAGATGAAGCGCCACGAGAGCGTCTTGCGCTCAATGGTGTATGCCAGGTTCGGCGAAGCCATCACAGGAGTCGCATGCATTCGAGCGTATGGCGTAGAGAACCAATTCCGCCGCACCATCCGTGACTCGATCGATGTGATGAACGGAGCCTATTTCCTCACTTTCTCCAATCAGCGTTGGCTCAGTGTCCGACTCGATGCTGTAGCGACCCTATTGGTCTTCGTGGTCGGTGTTCTGGTCGTCACTTCTCGGTTCAATGTCTCTCCCAGTATCTCTGGATTGGTGCTGTCTTATATTTTGGCTATCGCACAGATGCTCCAGTTCACAGTTCGTCAGCTGGCCGAGGTTGAGAACAACATGAACGCCACAGAACGTGTTCACTACTACGGTACTCAGCTGGAGGAGGAGGCGCCTTTGCACCAGGCCGAGATGTCACCTAACTGGCCCGAGAAGGGCCACATCGAGTTCAACAACGTGGAGATGCGCTACCGGGATGGGCTTCCACTCGTCTTGCAGGGCCTCACCATGGACGTGCGAGGGGGCGAGCGCATTGGTATTGTCGGCCGCACCGGTGCCGGAAAATCGAGTATCATGTCCGCACTATTCCGTCTAACCGGACTATCGGGGGGTAGTATCAAGATCGACGACATCGACATTTCCACCGTCGGGCTCCACGACCTTCGATCCCGTCTTGCCATCATTCCCCAAGACCCAGCCTTATTCAAGGGCACGATCCGCTCGAATCTTGACCCGTTCAATGGGCACAATGACCTCGAACTATGGTCCGCGCTGCGCAAGGCGTACCTCGTCGGCCAAGAGCAAGAACTCGAAGGCGAGGAACTTCCAAGCGGGTCAGACAGCGGAACCACAACCCCAGTCACAGACAGTGACGTCAAAGCCCGCCCGATAAACAAACTCACTCTCGAGTCGCCCGTCGACGACGAAGGCCTGAACTTTTCCTTAGGCCAGCGGCAACTGATGGCCCTCGCCCGGGCACTGGTCCGCGACGCACGTATCATCGTCTGCGACGAAGCTACCTCTTCCGTTGACTTCGAGACAGATCAGAAGATCCAACACACTATGGCTCAGGGCTTCGATGGGAAGACTTTGCTGTGTATTGCGCATCGCTTGCGCACGATCATCCACTACGATCGCATCTGCGTTATGGACCAGGGTCGGATTGCTGAGATGGATGCACCGGTTGTGTTGTGGGATAATGCAGATGGCATCTTCCGTGCCATGTGTGAACGCAGTGGGATCACTCGCGAGGACATTGTCAGCGCTTGACTGAGATGGTTGATGTTTTAAAAATTAGTACATAATCTCCAAACATCATACATATCAAACGTGATATTAATACATACCATGTTTCGATTCTGCATCTTTACATTATTCTCCGTACACAATGAAGAAGCAAATCACGCCTTATCTAATTCACAAACCAATTCCATCCCCAAATTCCGCATCATCCCCTCAACCCCAGCCTCCCTCCAGCCAACAAGATCCCTCTCATCCAACCGCACCATCTCTTCCTCCTCCGACAACACCCCAACAGGCAACCCAGTAAACTTAACCGGCAGACCAGGCGCCGTCCCAACAACCCTCATCCGCAAACCCGTCAAAACACCACGCAGATGATCCGCCGCCTTCCCACCACCCCTTCCTCCGTACGAAACAATCCCCGCCGGCTTTCCCTTCCACTCGAAGAAGAGATAATCAAGCGCGTTCTTCAGACTCGCCGGGATACTCCAGTTATACTGCGGTGTGACGAAGATGAAGGCATCGTGCTGCCGCACCACGGCGGACCATGCTCGCGTGTGCGCTTTGCTGTAGTGCGGGGTTGGGTCTGCTGCTGGTAGGCTGGCGGGGATGACGGATTCGTCGTAGAGGGGTAGGGATTGCTTTGCTAGATCGAGGATTTCGAAGGTTATGTGGCTTGGATCTGTGTCGGTTGTTACGCTGTGGTTTGTTGGGATTGTCGGGTCTGAGATGAGGACGTCATAGACGTACTGCGTTATCGTGGGGTTGAGGCGGGGACTGCGGGTGCTGCTGGTAACTATCGCGACTCGTTTGGGGGGCATTTTGAGTATGTATATGTACCTCCTGGGTGACTTAGAGTTGGATAATTGTTTGTAAAGAGGTTTTTGTGGGAGCTTATGTTTTCGGGGTTGCGGACATAAGTATTTCGGTAGCTCGGAGATTAGAAACCTGGATACTTTGACTTCCAAGGTCCTATACATATATAAATAGACTGTGACGATGTCCATCTTTTTGACAAGAACACAGCTTACACAGTACGTGTTAGATCAAGGATGGTATATAACATAACAGTGGAAAGCATCGGAAAGCCACTGTCATTCCGGATTTCGAATAAGACAACCCAAGGAAAGATTCAACAACATCTGTCTAAGGAGCAGAGTTACTGGCTCCCGTACCCCTGTTCAATTCCAGGAACCACGACTGTATACCCAAGAGTCAAGCACAAGACATAAAGGAATGAGTCTGCCCCTGCGTACCTATCTCTTCCAACGCGGGATCCGGTCTCCGCAGCAAATTAGCCAGCATATTGATACAATGATCAACGTGCTCCAGATCTGCAAGCATATTATCCAGAGGATCACCACGCATGTGGACATCATGACCTCGTCGAAGGAGATACAGACAATGAACCAGATGCTCACGGACAGCAGTCCAATAGAAGTCCGGGTTATTGCCGAGTTCAGTATAGTGCTTCATCTGCTGTGTGGCAGCCACATCATAGAAATAGACAAACGGCTTTCCGTTGTTGAAATGCGCAAACTCGTGCGTGAGGTCATGTGGACATTCTTTATGCAGCCAGCAGCCAGCAAGAGGATCGTAGGCGCAGCCGAGGGCTTCGGCCTCCTTGGTTGAGTTGCCGCACCAGTATCTTACTTGTGGAGCTGATGGCAGGCACTGTCATTTGCCTTCAGTGTCTCGGGGTATGCGGGCGAGTCAGACGACGGTCCTTTTACAGGGAATTTGCGGAAGGGTTCTACAGCGACGGCTGTGATTACGGCAATCACCAGGAGCAGCAGGATTATGAGCAAGCCGGTGATGGTGATTGCTGCCAGGTTTTGTTTCTGATTGTTGGATGCCCCGGCGGGGTGGTCTGTTTGTGACGGTGGCATCTCTGTCGCCATCAGCATCCGATTTGGAAACGGGGTGGTAGTCGCGAGAGAACACTTTGTCCATCATGACAGGATTAACGAGTGTCGATATGGAAATTTCCGTGGGATCGAACAGAAGAGAAAGATCCCTTTTCCGGGGAGAACTCCAGCTGCACATGATGCTTATTGAGATTGTAGTCTTATTCACGTCGACAGAGTAGATGAATAAGCGAACTTTATATGGCCGGTAGGGATGTCAATAAGACTCGAAACAAATAAACCGATTACGGGTTTATAATCGAATAGGGGCTATGTCCTAATGAAGAGTTCAACAAGAGAGACTAATGGAAAATGGTACGTCCAAGACAAAGAGACACTCGAAATCCCTCGGCAACGCCATTTTCAAAGACGTCTGTCGCTCATACTCTCCCATACCTCCGTGGACCAGGAAAAGCGCTTATTATTAACATGAATTTATTCCTGAATGTACCTATGCATAACTAAAATACTTTGTCAAACTGGCACAATATCCAAATATCCATCAACAAATTCATCTCAAGGCATATCCACAGAAAGCGATTTACAAAAATAAAAAAGAGCAAATGTACGAAGCTAGAACAAAGCCGACTTCAGACTCTGGATCTGGCATCAATCTAGACAACGAAGACAGTCTGGTTGAGAGACTCCAAGAATGCGGAAGGACCGGCCTGCAACTCAACAATCAGCATACATACTTTCCAACAAATGTAAGAGATCAACTTACACCAATCAGAGCCGCATGAGCAATATTGATCTGGCTTTTGCCAAGAGTAGCCGAGGCCGGCACGGTGACCGTGAAGTTCTCATACGGGGGCAGGCTGGACTCGTGGTACTCGGGTTTGAAAGGCCCATTGTATAGAATTGTTCCGAGAACCTCGTCTGCGTTTCTGCAAGGTGTGGATGCACATGAGGAGAGGCCTATTGCTACGCCCATCTCCTTGGATGGGCTCAGAGAGTTCTGAATAATAGATTAGTATACTGGATTCTGGTAACGAAGAAGATACACAGCCTGGACGCTGGACTCACGGGACGCTGAACTTGGATGACGACTTCCTTGCCGGAATTGATTTTCTGATTCTCGGCGGGGAGTCCAATTGTGGCCCTCTGCGCAATGGCCGCGGCGACGAAGAGAATCATAGAGAAGAAGGGCTTCATTTTGATGAGAGTGAAGACAAAGAGTTATAGGGGAAATATACAAGATGATAATATGGTATAAGATATTCTGTATGGAGAGTTACATGCGAATATTCTGGGGTATTTCCAAGGTTATATGCTCAAAATCTGGAGGAAGGGTCAGCCCTAGCAGTGACCCTTGGACTTCTAAAAGTGTCGAAGATGATGATTTGTCGAGTCTCTGTAAGTTTCAGATACAGTTCAAGGAAAGCCACAGCCGCCTGACGCTAAGGTCAATCGGGAAACTAAGGAAATCCCCTGGCATCGGTAATCCAACAAGTAACCAGACTGTCTCACCACAAACCAAAAATGAATTCAGGTTTGATTTCAAATCTGCCTTCGATATTATTGGCGGGGTTTTAAGCGTGCATACGGCGTACCGGCTGTCTCACATATGACCTAAGCCCTTTCTTGAGCCTGGAGCCCTGAAGCTGGAGCGGTGACTCGGGAAGATCACTATAACATAGAGCTGCATAAAATGCATTAGTTAGCTGAGGTTTTCACAGCCCCCAGAATATAATGACCTCTAGCGCGGAGAAATGAGGCCCAGTTTATTCAGTCTCAATCTAAGTCTGAACAGAACAGATACCGATGAATTGGCAAGCGTAGATACCAAATGATAAAATGAGAGATTGCGGCAACAAATCTATATCCGACATCGGGGTGGTTGGGTTGAAATGCATAGAGACTCTTACCTCGCTCCTAGAGGCTGCATGTGGCCCATTAAGGCACAAATGCGGTGTAAATATTCAATCTTGGGAAGATAAGAGAATCCGAGTTCCACCCGCATCGCAGTCAGAGCATGGCACCATCTCCTAATGAACGCGTAGGGCGAGTCCGAAGTGCGGTACACAATGTTGGTCTATTCCAGATATTTTCTGTAAGGCGATGCGATCAGGACCCATTGCTGCTCTGAAGATATCGTCGGGGTCAGTTGGAGGAGCAGATGGGTCAGACGACCCAGGGCCAGGTGTAAAAGGCACACGTCTTGGCTGTACGAACTGAGGAGGGAGACGGACAATAGAGGTAGGGTCAGAGGATTGGAGGTTAACATCCACTATTTAGGATGCTGGTTCGGGGAAGAGCTCCAACTCTTGGATGTTTTTCCAGGAGAGGACGGACTTATAGCCGAAGTCGATAAGTTTGGAATTATTGAAGTTTGTTAATGAGTGGAGGAGTGATGGAAGAAAGATGATGAGTGAGGAAGAAACGTGAGAAGAAAGAAAGAAGGAAGCAAGTGGAGGAGATTTTAGAAGAAAGACAGTGAAGGAGAAATGATAGAATAGATAGAGTAAAGTACGGTTATAAAAAATAATGAGTAATGTTCTAAAGACACTTGAGTCTGTCTCTATTGTGTTTGTTGGTCCTTCGGGTCATCCGTTGATATTACCTACAGACATATCAAGGTCAAACTTGAGATACTCCCTTAGCTTACGGATATTTCGCTGCACCGAGAAGCTTTATACGGTGGTGTGAGAGCTATAGAGAGACCAATTGTTATGTCAGGTCCTAGTAAAGGGATAGTAAATTATCAACTGCCACATATTGAAACATTCAGGTCTTGTAAGGCCATATAAGGCACTCGTAGACACGCGCTCTACAGCTAAATTCGAAATTGGCTTCCACATTATACACAGAGAAACTCTCCCAAACCCTAACGCCAAGCCGATGGTGAGCCTAAATCTGGCTAGACCGTAGATCATTCCTGTGCGTCAGAATGGAAATGTAAAGTATCTGACAAGACCAATACACCGAAGCGTTGAATTATACGTCATTCGCAGCTGTCGCAACTCTTACCTGACCCCCCTCCCACCACCACGAGTTGCACTATATCCATAATGATAAGGTGAAAATTGATTTCTAATCAATTTGGCGGCCCTGCGTATAGACACCTCGGCAATTATTTCCCATGTTGCGACTGTTCCTGATCTGCACCGGCCTTATATCACAACATGATGCAGTCCGGTCGGGTCGGCAGTCTATCGAGAATTCCACAGCTTTCCCAAGGCCCCTATTTCATTATAAATTGAAATGCAACAGCATTTGCTAGGGATCAACTCAGTCATTGCAGAAGATAATTTACACGTCGCCGAAGTATAGCTAGCTCGGCATGCGCACAGATTAAAAACATTCATTTATCTTCTTCACCAATTAGCGGATAGGACATCACATGACCGCAGTTCCAGGTTGACACGCTGTCAGCGACGCGTACCCCACCCGCATGTTCCTCCTGAGTCCCAAACCTTCTGTCACTATCATTATAATCATGGCGTCTTCGCTGTCTTTTCACAATCCCAATTCTGGAATCCAGACAGGGATTAATAATGGGACGATTAATGCTCAGTTTGACCTTCGTTCAGGTAGGATATGAGAGCTTCAAAGAGGGCGAAATTTCGTTGACCGGATGCAGACCCTCTTGACAGATTAGCAATCGCGGACGGGGCAGTGTTCAACTCTTACGCCAATCAGCATCAGGACAATTGTCTTCCAGGCACTAGGAGTGAGCTTCTCAACGAGATTGCAGAATGGGCTATGTCATCGGAGGGAAAATGTATCTTTTGGTTGAATGGGATGGCCGGAACCGGGAAATCGACGATTTCTCGCACTGTGGCTAACCGCTTCGAAGAAGAGAAGTTACTAGGAGCAAGCTTCTTCTTTAAGAGGGGCGAGGGGGATAGAGGGAATGCGATAAAGCTTTTCCCGACGATCACCAAACAACTAACGAAGATTATTCCCCAACTGACCTCTGGTGTTCGAAAAGCAATTGACAACAACCCCGACATCGGAACAAAAGGGCTGAAGGAACAGTTTGACAGAATACTCCTTCAACCTCTACTGGACTTGCATTCATCCGCTCTCCCGACCATGAATGTGGTCATAGTGATTGACGCACTAGACGAATGTGACGTTGATAATGATATGCGACTTATACTCCACCTACTACCACAATTACGGAAAGCAGAAGGTATACGTGTACGAGTTTTGATAACTAGCAGGCCTGAATTGCCGATTCGTCTGGGGTTTGAAAAGCTTCCACTCCATGATCATAAAGACTTCGTTCTCCATGAGATCCCCAAGGAAGTTGTTGAAAATGATTTATCATTGTTCTTGAATCATCGAATTTCAAAGATTAGAGAGGAGCGAGACCCCTCCTTACCAATCGATTGGCCTGGGGTGATAAATATCAGAAAACTAGTGGCATTGTCTGTTCCGCTATTCATCTTCGCCGCTACGATATGCCGTATATTCGAGGACCCTGATTGGGACCCAATAGACAGTCTTCCTGAGATTCTCACACATCAAAATGATGAATCTAAACTGGATGGGACGTATCTTCCTGTGCTTGATCGGCTTCTTCAAAGACAATCAGAAAAGAAGAAAAAGGGGTTGGTCCAAGAATTCCATCAAGTGGTCGGTGCAATCGTGATACTAGAGAGCCCACTCTCAATTATCGCACTTTCAAGACTTATCGGCCTCCCGCAGAGGCTTGTTCACACCAGACTCAACTCACTACACTCAGTTCTAAGTGTGCCAAACGATGAGACCTCGCCGATACAGCTCTTTCATTTATCATTTCGGGACTTTCTTCTTAGTCCGGAAACCCGCGAGAAGACAGTATTTTGGGTAGATGAGAAAGAAATGCATTATAGGTTATCCAAATGTTGCTTTCTTATATGTGAGAATCTGAGACGGAATATTTGCGAACTGCCGAGTGATGCAACACAACGTGAGAATATCGATCGCCAGACTATCAATCGTTTTCTTCCTCCAGAATTGCAATATGCCTGTCGATATTGGGCACACCATCTGGTACTATGCATAGACATGTATACTATGGTGCAAGATGCTCTTTTATTTCTCAGGAGGCATTTCTTGCACTGGGTGGAAGCAATGAGCCTATTAGGCCTTACGTCAGAAATGGTGGGGATTATCAATCGCCTAGAGACGGTTATACTAGTAGGTTTCTTAAAGACTCCTATACTATCTTTACTAATAGGCGTAGGGCGACCATAATGCTGAATTGTCCGAGTTTCTGCACGATGCAAAGCGTTTTATACTTAAAAACCGCCAGATAGCTGACGAAGCGCCCCTACAGGTTTATTGCTCAGGGCTTGTTTTTGCGCCCCGAAACGCAATAATCCGCAGAGAATTCGAAGCGCAGCTTCCTAGTTGGATATATCAGTTACCACAAGTTCAGGAAAGGTGGAGTGCAGAATTGCAGGCACTCGAGGGTCATTCTAGTTCAGTTCAGTCGGTGGCCTTCTCGCCCGACAGCCAGCTACTAGCGTCTGGTTCCGACGATAAGACAATCCGCCTCTGGGATACAGCGACAGGCGCCCTACAGCAGACTCTCGAGGGCCACACTGATTCAGTTCAGTCGGTGACCTTTTCGCCCGACGGCCGGCTACTGGCGTCTAGCTCTGACGATAAGACAATCCGCCTCTGGAAGACGGCGACAGGCGCCCTACAGCAGACTCTAAAGGGCCACACTGATTCCGTTCAGTCGGTGGCCTTCTCGCCCGACAGTCGGCTACTAGCGTCTAGCTCCGACGATAAGACAATCCTACTCTGGAATATAGCGATAGGTGCGCTACAGCAGACTCTCGAGGGCCATATTGATTGGGTTCAGTCGGTGATATTTTCGCCCGACGGTCGGCTACTAGCGTCTAGCTCCGACGATGAGACAATCCTACTCTGGAACACAGCGACAGGCGCCCTACAGCAGACTCTCAAAGGCCATACTGATTCAGTCCAGTCGGTGGTCTTCTCGCCCGACGGCCAGCTGCTAGCGTCTAGCTCCTACGATGAGACAGTTCGACTCTGGGACACGGCCACAGGCGCCCTACAGCAGACTCTCGAGGGCCATACTGACTCAGTTCAGTCGGTGGTCTTCTCGCCCAACGGCCAGCTGCTAGCGTCTAGCTCTGACGATAAGACGATCCGCCTCTGGGACACAGCGACAGGCGCCCTACAGCAGACTCTCGAGGGCCATATTGATTGGGTTCAGTCGGTAGCCTTCTCGCCCGACGGTCGGCTACTAGCGTCCGGCTCTGACGATGAGACCGTTCGGCTCTGGGACACGGCGACCGCTCCCTTACAACAGACTCCCGAGTGCCACACCGGTTGGGTTTTTTCGGTAGCCTTCTCGCCCGACGGTCGGCTACTAGCGTCTGGCTCCGACGATAAGACAATCCGCCTCTGGGACACGACGATAGGCGCCCTACAGCAGACTCTCAAGGGCCACACTGATGCAGTCCAGTCGGTAGTATTTTCGCCCGACGGTCGGCTACTAGCGTCTAGCTCTCGCGATAAGACAGTCGGTATTTGGGACATAGCGACGGGCACCCTACAGCAGACTCTCAAGGGCCATACTGACTCAGTTCGGTCGGTAGTCTTCTCGCCTGACGGCCGGCTGCTGGCGTCTGGCTCCAACGATAAGACAGTTCGGCTCTGGGATACGGCGACTGGAGCCCTACAACAGACTTTCGAGGGCCACACTGATCTGGTTCGTTCGGTGGCCTTCTCGCCCGATGGCCGGCTGCTGGCGTCTGGCTCCGACGATAGGAATGTCCGCCTGTGGGACACAGCGACTGGTGCCCTATACGAGATATTCCGAATTCACGGCGTGGCCACTGACCTCGAATTCTCCCAGGACGGTGCATACCTAAGCAGCAACCCAGGATCTCCCGGTATCAAGTGTCGCAATCACACCCCACATCTATCTCCGGTAAATCTGGAGAAATCTATACTGAAGATTCCCCGAGACGGTTCATACACAAGCTGTAACTTGGGATCTCTTGATATTCAGTCCAAGTTTCGCAATCACACCTCCAGTACACACCAAGCAAATCTGGATATATCCATATCTAAGGCACAGTGGATAATCTTCAATGGAGAAAAGATATTGTGGCTTCCTCCCGAGGCTGGCCCTTCTTGTTCGGCCATTAAAGGCAGTACACTTGCCCTAGGCCACGCATCAGGGCGAATTTCCTTCATAGGATTTCGGGTATAATATACTTCAGTATTTCTATCCATTCATCCCTCTATTGGGCATTAAAATAAGGATCTCTTGAAGAAGCAGTGAATGGGGGAAGTAGAGATTTTATTCGACTCTATCATGTTGGTGGGAGGTACAGTAATATAATATTCCACGAGGTTCGAACTGGTGAGGTGTTGTCCAGTGGACGGTTCCGGTTCGCTTAGTCAGCGGGGAGACCCGAAAATAAGTATTGTCTGTACATGTAAAGTACACATGTGAACGAACGGTATAACTCCTGCATCCATACTATCCTCATTAGGCCTAGTGTGTGTCGATCTAGGGTTCCAAAAACAATTTCCCTGCGTAAAGCATGGAAGCCAATTTCGAATATAGCTGTAAAGTCGTATCATAAATAACTGGTATATTTCCAAGGTTGCCTTTCCCTGCTTACTTTATATATTAGGAATTTTCATTGGGGGTTCTAGGTGTTCCCTCATTCATTTGATATTATCGATTTGTGGCGCAAGAGAAAGCAAGCACCGGGGTAAAATTTTTATAAATCAAGTGCAGAGTACGAGACAGAAAAGACAAAGATGAAAGTGCAAAAAGCAAACTAGCCTGGCTGTATGTGACTAGCCATTCCTGGCCTGGTCTATCAGGCATGCATGGCGTGTGAACATTGATGATCTTCAAAACAAAACATGGTAGCGCAAGGAGATAACATCTTGGTAAGAGAATGTCAATAGCGAATGCGAAGGATGAAAGAATGAACACAAATTGCACCGAATAGAAGAGAGGGCTTTAGCCTCCTCATGACAAGAAAACTAGAGATTAAGGCTCACCTGATTCGTCAAATCCCAGTTATCTCTCCGACAGTCAATTCGTCTAAAGAGCCCCGAGTCTTCGATGACTTGAACATGTCAATCATAGCTGGATCCCTTTGTTGGCCTCAAGAGCGGCTGCCAGTCGCGCCTGCTTTCGTCTCCACTTTCTCTTACGCTTCGTGTTCCGTGGGTTTCGAAAACATTCCTCAATGGGGTGCTTTGTGAGACGCTGGTGATAGGGACAGTATTGCTTGGGGAAACTTTCAATTTGACCCACGTCAGCAACGGCAGTATCTGGGTTGCCCGAGACTGGCTGTTGCTTTCCTAGTCGACATGCCTCAAACTCCAGGAAGTCGGCGAAGGCTTCATCTAGTATGGATGCCGGCAGAGAACCTCTCTCAAACTGGAGCGACTCAACCCATGGAATGGTGTGAGGGTTCGCACTGACCGCTGCAAGGAACTGATTGAGGACGAAGACTGTGGGAATATATGGGGGTCCAAAGGCCTGCTTCATCTCTTTGAGCGCTCGTTGCCAGGCTTGCACAAATGCCTCGGGTGACTTCGATGAATAGTAGACAGTGTGGATCCAGTCCATGAATTTGCGATAAGCAAAAAGACACTCACGGGATTTGTTCTCCGGGGTCTCAATAGGTTCGCCGGGGTAGGAGGCTGCCATGAAGAAGTTCGGGTCGTTGCAAGCAATGTTCGAAGGACGCGGGGCAAGGAGCTGAGAGCGAGGAAACATAGTACCCATCATCGGCGGGCCATATGAGGAAAGGCCCTGTGGAGCATTGTCAAACAAAACAGGGTAAATTGGCGGCGGTCTGCAAGGGCCGTAAGCAACAGGGCTAGGGCCAAAGGAAGGAGGTGCGAAGTATTGAAGACCAATCTGGGCTGGAGCTGGAGCGACTGAATTCATGCCGAAGTAAACGGGCTCGCCCTCAAATGCACACGCGCGATCTTCTGCATCGGAGACGAGCATTTTGACTTCAGTGAGGGTATTTGTGCGTGAATTGGCCTTGATATCGTGCTCACTTTAGGGGTTCTCGTCTTATGTATGACGGAGTAGAGATAACAGTTTTTGATGGACGTAGATTGAACGCTAGAAAGGATATTAGCAAGTCGGTCGTACAAGTAGATGTAAAGGAGCTGTTAAAGATAAGTCGAACGGTTGAAATATATGCCCTGTTGATGCATAGATAGGTGTCTGGTTAGGTTAGAAGTCGGGGTGATGACAATGGAGAGTTGGTGCATACTGTTGAGGTCGCCTTTATATGTAGGCAGATGTCTGGTCAGGTTAAAGGCTCGGTGGACGTGGAGTTAGGGTGATGACAAGGGAGAGTTGATGCATACTGTTGAGGTCGCTTTTATATGTAGGCAGATACATCACAGCCTGGTGTAAATTGACCTTTCACCTGGACAGCAAAAGTAAAGGTACTTAATTACTGAAGCTACCTCCAGGGCTAGGTAGGTACCTACATAGACATATACTCTAAGGGCTTCAATGGACAAAGGTGGCCAAAAAACTGCTAAGGTATAATAATGACAGGCAAGGGCACAAGTCGAGTATAGCTGAGGGAGAAATGAGATGAATCTTAGATAATTCCATAATTGGTATAAAAGAAATTTCGACATGATCGGGTACGTCTGCGACGAATTTGACCTCTACAAGTGATAGGCACAATTTGACGAAATGCCTAACCTCTGATATGTCTTTCTCAATACTCTTGAGAGGAATGTGACGTCTTGTCACCTCAACTCCGTTTTCTCCAACCGACCAAGAAAACCTGGGCGGACCCAGCAGCTCTCACACGAGTTGAAAAATTGGAAAACCTTATGGCAAAACTTGAAGAGCATTGGCGAAACGCCACCGAAACCCAAGCAAAGGATTATAATAAGCAAGCGTCATGAACCTGTCTGCTCCGACGGTGAGATCTTGTAGCATTGTCTACAAAGCACCTCAGATTGAAAACGCTCTCAAAGAAGCTACCTAGGTATCACCTAGATACATTGGACCATTTAGAGTGCTTGACGCTATCGGGAAACAGGCGTATCGATCCTGAGATCAAAGAAGGCGGTTCTATTAATATCCACCGGCAAACATGGCCATATTCCATCCAATTTCATCCACTTCATTTTTGTAGGGGCCAATTCTAATATACTTTGTGCTCCCCGGACTCATTTGACCATTGGCCGATGCCGAGGGATGGTCCTATTAAGAGGTCATTCCTGCATGTCGGATTCTCCTTGTTCTTTAGGCCCAAAAAGAATCCGAGTGATCGAGACTTTTTCTTCCAAGCTTCCCATGCATGGCGCTGTCCAAGCTTTGATCTAGATGTACAAAAGTGGCGAATCTGGACCAAAGAAACTGGCCATATAATACTGATAACAATGGGAATCTAGGCCAACCTTGGAATGCCAGCAAATCACCTAACAGTGTGCACCCCGGACAAATATCATATAAGCCTGGATCATGTTAGTGGCTAAGACAACCACGTGGCTGTCTTTCGCTCCAGCCAATGCTTCACCTCGCCTCTATCATTGGAAGTTTGCTTTATTACGCCCTCTGTAATGTGCGCCAATTGCGTGAACATATCAGAATGAAATAGTCAATCTCAAGCCAGTAACTAATTTGACTCAGACGTTTTGTGTGCAAACCTTTGCGGCTAACGAGTCCCGAACATAGTTCATACCATGGCTCGACGACTGATCCACAAAACCGTTCCGCCGGTAGATCCAGGCACGATATGTCACTGGGTCCATGTCACTGGTTCCTAGGGCTACAAAGGGGAAAATTAAAAGCCCAGTTCCGAGCAATGACTGTGATGGAGAGTTACTGAATGCCCAGCATCCATTATACTTCGTACACCTCGGCATTAATTGGCATCTTGGCTTTGCCATAAAAGCCGAGTTATGCGACCCGCATCGGGGAGCTGCAGGCATCCTCGAACCACGAGATGCTACCCAGGTGATCGACATGAACTTCCAAGGTTCCGTGGAGATAACCTCCAGAAGTATTCTGGGAAAATTCTGGATTAATTTAACTTCTAAGGTTTCAATGGGGAGTAGATTCCATGGTCCCTTGTCTATTAATCGTAAACTTAGTAAAATCGGACTAACCTCGGAAGATTTAGGGCAGTCCTTGATGTATTCATGGCGGATAGCCGCAAAAATGCAATTATATACAGGTACCGTGGTACTCCGTAGGGCCGGATAAGCTGGATAATCAGGGCTCCTCCGTAATGAGATATCAATCAATATCAAGCTGAACCAATGAATCAAACAGACGCCACATGGGAAAGAACGATGGAGTGGAACCGGCCGTGATCTGATAGCCAGCCATTTTGGCACGTTCCGCATCCCCTCTCTCCACATCACTATGTTACGCTCATCACATTGTACGTATTTTCTGTTTCTTAATATCATAGGCTTGAAGCCTTGGAGTATATTTACTTTTCTCCCCGATACAATTCTATGGTCAAACATGCCACTTTCGTTCCTGGCCGATCTTTTTTCTGACGGGATCCGCCCGATCGTCATACCTTCACTACAATAGCTATCCCACCTGGTATAAAACACCCTTGAGAGTCGGAATGAACTCTCTCCCTCCTCGAGATCAAGAATTCCAGGAGTGGGTAGATCGACGCCAAAGCACACAATCTGCCTCCACCGTGTCGTCTGCGTCAACGAGTATCCTCTTCCCGAGCCCTGCGACATCTCCAGGGTCCAGCTCGCGGAAGCAATCATGGCAGTTCTACGACGAAGTCGTGCGGCTCGAGCTGACTCCTGCTGTCCAAATGTCGGTGTTCAGAAAAAGGTTCCTTCCGGAATGCGCTGACTTGTCAGTAGTTCCTTTGTCAAACACGGCCAGTTATTCAAGCTGAAATACAAATTCATTGATATATGCAAGGACTCAACGGGCGCGTTGAGGTGTCTCGAACTTGGGGGAGGACTAGGCCAGCAAACACCTTTTATTCACGGCTGTGAGTGGTCTCGTATATCTCCGGATGCCTTAACATGCTGACCATTCAATGATGCATAGTCTCCAATACAAGATTACCAGTCCCTCACCTAGAGCATCCAAGATCAGGCAACGATTACCCTCTTCGCGTGTCCTTTATGGACCAGCAAACTGTCCAAACGGGAAGCACGGTATTCATGACGCAGCTATCATATACATTCGATCACTGGGATGGTACGCGACCGATAAACCTTGCAGAGTGAACCTTTGCTTACACTCGCAGATTGTGTACGATTCCAAGAACTGCTACTCGGCTCCAAGTTGGTGTTTATTGGGGGAATGGCCGAGGCGAAGTCTAAAGGCCGGGGTGAAGAGTGCATCAGCCAAAATCTTCGCATACTCCGCGGGTATAACGGGAAACGTGTGATGTTGTTCTTTGCTAACTCACAACGGAGGGAGCTCAAACGATACGTTTCCATTCCCTGTGAGTTTTGCTTCCATCCGGGCCCAGATCCCCTACCCCTGTCACAGTAACATTGCTAATATCCAGCTAGTAAACTGCATCGGCTCAATTAAACCCCCGAAGAAGGCCGGGCGGCCAGCCATAATTGACCTGAATCCGAACTTCGAGATTCTATCTCAAATGAGAAATCTGACGATTCAGTTTCTTGACGATGATGGTCAGTGCACATTTAAGTTTCTTCCTTTCAGACTATTGGCTTATTCCTCTCTTGTCCAGACTGCACAGCATTTTGTCAGATGTTGTCATACGACCTGACGATTGGATGAAGAGTCCACGAGGGTGGACAAGCATATAAATCATATTTTCAAACGGAGTTGGAGTTATTAGGCAAATTGGGGGCCAGATATGTATCATGTACATAATACCAAGATACCCCTGGGCGTTACATATACTGTTGAGCATAGGACATTGAATTTACGGAGTACCATGTGAAATAAATTAATTAATTAGAATTCAACTTTAACGCAATTAATGAGAATAAAATTAGAATAAAATTGACCGTTTAGCAAGCTATTGTTGTACGAGAAGTGTAATAAAGAAATTAAAATCCCAAGATTCTCGATGTCTCATAAAGCGAACAATTTACCCTCATAGTTGACCATGTGGGTCGGCAGGTTGGACCGTCGACAAGTCAAGCACCAGAGACGCCGCACGTGGAGAAAACAACCCTAAAGCTTTGGCTCGTTCCAAAAGTTCGCCGCTTGGCCCCGCATTAGCGCGTGCTGGGATTACGGACCTGGCAATCTGTAGCCTTTCTTGTAAACCTTGGAAGCCCCGGGTCAAACCGAACCATCTTCTGATATTCTATGAAATGTAGAGCTCAGCGCATATCTTCATCTTTCAACTTTCGAGAAAGTATTCACCATGCGCAAGTTCCACACTCGGTTGTATAAAACCGACCGGGCCAGGGACTTCGATCATGAGCAGGTATGGAGTCCCCCGCATGTTGATGACCGACATGGCATGCATGGTCGCTAATGGTTCTGTTATAGGATCGATATGTCCGCATGCGACAGATCTATGAGACTATCGATAGACAGAGCTTTCAATGGATTGTCGTGCTGGTCGCTGGTCTTGGGTTCTTCCTCGATGGTTACACAGTGCGTTACCCCACGTTCCAGGAACATATTGAAATGTACTCGACCGCATATGCGGCTGCTAATACTTGGATAGTTATTTGCCAGTAATGTGGCCCTACCGATGATCTCCTATGTGTACTGGAGAAACGACATTTCCTCATTACGACTTACCGGCATCAATATCGCAACACTTGGCGGGACCCTGCTGGGGCAAGTGGCATTTGGATTTTTGGCTGATAAAAATGGGCGGAAGAAGATGTACGGTGTTGAATTGGTACTCCTCATTACAGCGACCCTGGGTGTGGTCATGTCCTCGACAGGTGTGGACGGCAGCATGAACGTCTTTGCATGGCTTATTTGGTGGAGAATTTGTGTCGGTATTGGAGTCGGCGCAGATTATCCACTCAGTGCAGTGATCACGTCTGAGTAGGTCGATCGATCTGGGAAGTTTTAATCGTGGAGAAACTGACCTGAAATATCAGATTTGCCCCTACCAAGCACCGAGCCCGCATGATGGCCACCGTCTTCTTCATGCAGCCACTCGGTCAGATCGCAGGTAATATCGTGTCATTGGTTGTCATCGCGGTGGCTCGTGGTAATAGCACCCCCGGTGAAGACCTCACCCGCACGGTTGATATAATGTGGCGCTGGGTGATCGCCATTGGAGTCGTGCCCGGCGCAGTCGCTACTCTTTTCCGGTTCGCCATCCCAGAGAGTCCCCGGTACCTAGTCGATATCGTGGATGATCCCGTCACGGCGGAGTTTGATGCAACCACGCTTTTCAGTGACACGCCCGGTATGATTGATTCTGGGGGTTGGGGAACCACTGCTACCTGCAGTGCCGGTGGCGCGATTCAACTACCCCCGATTTCATCCATTGCTAGCAGTTCGAGCTTTGATGTCGAGGAGGACGACGAGTTCACCCGCCTACCCCCGGCTACCCTTAACTCTAACTGGCGGTTGGCACGCACGGACATCGTGCGGTACTTCTGGACAGAAGGAAACTGGCGCAGCTTGGCTGGTTGCTCGCTCGCGTGGCTCCTCCTTGACTTTGGATTCTACGGTATTGGATTGTCGAGCCCTCATTTCTTAGCAAAGACATGGGGCCAACTTAATATCTCCGGGCCGGCACCGAACTGGAAAACCGACGATGCACCAAATGCCAATATCTACGATATGTTCATGCATACCTCTGTGCGTGCGCTGATTGTGCTCAATATCGGAAGTTTTGTCGGTGGCATACTGCTCATCATCTTTGCCCACAAGCTGGATCGTGTTGCGCTACAGAAGTACATGTTCCTCGCACTGGCGGCTCTGTTCATCGCCCTGGGGACCATGTTCGTCTGTCTTTATGAGGGCCCTCCTGCTGTAGTGGCAATGTATATTCTTGGCCAAATCTTGTTCAACTTTGGTGAGTCAAACTCAGGATACGATGCATTAAGTCATTCTAACTAGCTACACACAGGCCCCAATGGAACCACCTATATCATCCCCGCCGAGATCTTTCCAACCCGATACCGTGCAAGCTGTCATGGCATCAGCGCTGGGGCCGGAAAGCTGGGCTCTATTCTCGTACAAATCTTCTCGACATTCTATCACTTTGGCGCAGGGCCAGGCCACGAAGGAACCCGCAAGCACGGCATTGTTCTCCTTGTTTTCAGCGCCTGCATGATCCTTGGCGCAATAGTCACACACTACTGGATTCCACCTGTCCAACAAAGACGGAATGGCAGAACTAAGCTTTGGGGTGGTAAGTCCGAGACTCTCGAAAGCTTGTCTCTTGGCCGAATGGGGCGCAAGAGTCGAGATGCCGATTGTCGGAAACGGACATCACGGCACCGGGCCCTTTCAATGAGTGCCTAGTTATTACCACTCTCTATGTCTATCTTTAATTATTCTTGTATATATAGATCGAATCTGTGTTATCTGCATTTAGTAATTCCGGCTACATGAATATAAACCAACAGATGCATCCAGTCGGAATGAACTTTATAGATGTGTTCACAATTCAAGCCCAAGAGCACCATCGAGCAATCGCCCCATAGCCACCTCATCCAGGTAAAGCGCAACATCCATGCCGCCATCGCCAACCGCGCTATCCATCACCTGAAGACAACCATCCATCTTCGGCATAACAGCGTGTACATAACGTGGCTTATTCCCACCCACAAAGTCAATATCATACAACTGCAGTCGCAGCCACGACGTAACAAGCGTATGCTCAGACCCCAAGAACGCCTGCCACAGCCGCTGCGGCGATACCTCGTGCGCAGCATCATGCAACATCGCACCCACAGCACCAGCCGTAAACCCCTTCATCGTCTCTCGGATCCGACTCGCCGTTTCGCCTAATCTTTCCCGACATACCGAGGAAGCGGTTCCACCAACATGAGTCAGGAAGAGCGGGGATCCGATGAACGTATCAGGAAGAGCGGGCGAAACACGCGCTCTTGCACCGAGACTAAAATCCATATATACGGGTCTCGAAGAGTCGGCCTGTCCGCGCGCTCGCATAATAGCTATCCACAGGTGTGCTAGAAGAGCATCTAGTCTTGAGATATCACATCGACTCCCTGTATCGAGGGCTGCGGCTTTGAATTTGCTTAGCTCTGTGCCTGTGAAATGCAACTGTACATATCTAACTTTCTTGGAGAAATCCCATGAAAGCCAGGCCGCTGGTTCTGAGGGTGAGACTCGGTCGAATTCTCCGGGCGGCGGTCTGGAGTTCTCCGTCGTTGGTATGAGGAATGGTGGGTAGCCCTCGGCGGCGGTATCCCACCAGCTATACCGATGCAAAGGCAATTTGCGCGCGATGTTTACGAGGGTTTGGTCTGGCTCGGGACTATCGATATCGCCCGCGGCGCAGCTGTCCAGCGAGGGGGGATCGAATACAGGCTCGCCTCTTAGCGGGGCCTCAGACTGGTTTCCGAATTGCTTTTCGCTGTTGTGCGCCCATAGATGCATGAATACCATTAGCGTCTGTGCGTCTGCTAGACAGTGCGCTAGCTTGATTCCGATGACGTAGCCCCCCTGGAGAAGGCTGATTTGGACTTGCATCCCTGGTAGACCGACGTAGTCGCGCAGATTGGCCAATGCCAATGGATTGGATGATATGAAGAGTCTTTGGTCGAAGGCATCGCCTTCCCATGCTCCGGGCTGAGAACCGGCGGTTGATGAAACCCGTTCCTCGGCTGTGGGGACAATTTCATCTGCTCGGAAGGGATGTTCGATTACTGTCCATTCGACACCTGGGTCGGTGTCTGTTCCGTATACAATCAATGGACGATTGAAACGCTCTGTGTGGTTTCCTTTGGGTCTCACGGGTGCCCATTGGAGTTGGCCTGCCCATTGAGGGAATTTTGATAGGGTTTCAATGAAGGAAGTTCGTAAATGGTCGATCAAGGTCTTCCGATCTAACTCTGCCGGTTGGTCGAAAATCCAAATTGCTCCTGTTGGAGAAAAGCGGGCGACTGTCGCATCGAGGATGGATAGGGGTGTCGATGTCGGTGTTAGCTCGGCTGGTCGCAGCCTTATAGACTCGATGGTGGTCATGTTGTACGTGCACGTAAACTGTGTTCGGTATCATTATTGACCATGCTCATTCATTTTTATCTTTCTGAATTTATGAGTCAATATCCGTCACTATGTGCCATCGTGTGTCCATCCCACCTGAACACGGACTAGCGCCACATCTTTGTCTCAGATAAGGTACGGACTATCCCGTGGGTCCGTCTAAAGCAACGCAAGGTCGTAGAGGCTTTTCGACGTCCCTGTACTGTCGGTAAGAGCGAGGGGAAACCCCGGAAGATGACAATGAAGAAAAAACATTGGATCGCAACCGTTTCCCCCGAACTGTAAGCGTATTGGGACGTGTTCGATGATTCAAAAGCTGCGATTTTTACACTGACAAGGAAGCGAATACTCACCAGTTCACATTTGTCACCGGCCTTGTTACAACGCTGCCAAAGACGGGACAAATGGGCATCACGCAGGAACTAGCCTGACAACTAGTATTCTATTACAATCCTAATCCCAGTTTGGATTAGGCGAACCACTTCAACAGGGAGAATAGATCCAGTAGACCTTTTACAGTCGCGGAATGCGTTAGTACAGAAGCAGCTGACTGCCCCTTTCCTTTGCCTCTAGCTCGAGTTCTTTAATCCTTTGCTGTAAACTCTCGTACTTGAGTTTCCGGGCTTTTTCCTTCAGCTTTCTCAGCTGGGACTCGGAGGGGGGGTGGTTCCTGGTGAGTGCCTGATTGTCTGCCGGGATAACTGCTCCGTTGGTAGTAGAAAGACAGTTTCAGCTGTGGCGTACTGAGAGCCGCCAAATGTAATGCCGAATTCATCGCATAACGCTTCCCATTCAGCCCAGTCAGCTGCTTCTGTACTAACGCATTCCGCGACCGTAAAAGGCGTACTGGATCTAGAATCTCCCTGTTGAGGTGGTTCGCCAGGAAGACTGGAATGGGTTTAAAGCATGGACTTTGACCCTCCTAAGAAACGCGCCAAATCTCACCTCCACTGCGGCAATCAAGTTGGCCCAGGCACAGCACCGAATGGGGCAGGATCCAAGCGCGTTTGATACGGCGAGTTGAACGGGGGAAGGAACGTATAGTATCCCTATTGCAGAGACTAATTCTTGCTAAGTCCAATTTCCAGGACTCTTGTACCTCTTCGTCCCTGGATCGTGATCGTCATGATGATCCATCAATCCAGTCTCCGAGCCCTCTTTTGGCATATATAGTGCTTAGGATGATCATATGGTCGATCCTCGGTAAGCAATAAAGAAACTCGGGACAACGAAGTTAAATATACATCAAGATCCTATAACTATCTCCCCTCCTATACAGGTTGTCCTCAACCTGCGATTTCTGATCATGAAGCGAAAGATTCAGCAAGGCCCCATAAGGGTTCAGCAATGAATTGGGCACGAATTATACCGGTTTCTCGAAGGTCGAATCGAATTGCATGTCGCGTCCACGGTTGACCACGTCTACCCTTCCCATCTAATTTACACTCACACCCGTACACCACAACTAAACCGAGGAAAAAAGTGCTGTCAGACCTACCCAAGGAGTTGGTACTGCTAGTAGCGGAGAATCTCGAATCAAACGCGGATGTATTTGCTTTTGCTCAAACGACGACCGCCATATCCAGAGTCCTAATTCCCCACCTTTACCGAGTCGATGCGAAACAACCTCAAAGCAGGATACTCTTCTGGGCTGCAAAAAACAGGGGAAACGTCGCTTGTGAAAAGGCGCTGCAAGCAGGCGCCCAGCCTATGGTCAGGGACACACTGGGTCGAACACTACTCCATATGGCGGCACATCGCGGCCATGACACTGTAGCTAGACTCCTTCTTGCTATACCCAATGTGGACCCGAACTGCGACGACTCCGAGGGCCGGACACTGCTGCATCTGGCGGTTGAGCAGGGGAGGGAGGCCACTGTCGAGCTGCTTCTCGCTCAAGATGGTATTGATCCGCAGTGCAGGGGCTACCACGGCCTCACGCCACTCGCGCTAGCGGCAAAGCACAAGATTGTCGAGATAATGAGCATGTTGCTCGCTGTGAAAGGGGCCGATTCACAAACCCTCGACGATATTGGGAGGTCGCCGCTGGCGTGGGCGGTAATGAGAGACGATAAGGAAGCGGTCGAAGTACTGCTCTATATACCAGGTTTCAATGCGTACAGCGAAGGTAAATGCGGCCATAGTTCTCTCTATAATGCAGTCGAAACCTCGGATGGGGACATTGTCGGGTTACTCGCCGGTAGACCCGAATTCGAGCTAGATCAGCCGAACTTCGGCCGTGGCCTGACGGCTTTGTCATTTGCTGCCAAAAGTGGAAATGTGGCAGCGGCTAGGGCGCTTCTTGCCACCGGTATTAATCAGAATGGTTGAGTTATCGAGAAGTTCTAAACTGCCGAAGGCACACATTCAGGTATGTGGCTTCTTCCTCAGTGATTACTTCACCAGTGAAGGTCAATGGAGGGCGAGTTTCCGAAGCAGAGGTCCCAGGTGTAGAGTCTGGCTGGGCGAGAGAGGAACTGATTGCTCTCATTAGCACATTTACTCAGCCACACATTGTCAGTAAAGCATTAGAGAACTATGTGGTTCTTGTTCAACAATACAACAAGACATACCGTTCTTCGCCTTGCCACGCCAAGCACCACGGCGGGTTCTCTTCGTTTGGGTCTGATGGATTCACATCCAAAATCAATATTTCCCCTTGGTATGGAGGATATGCCTGTGTGGATCTTACGAGCTCGGCCGCGCATTGGGCGTTCAAGACCGTTAGTCACTTTACGACACGACAATCGAACAGTTGTGGCCATGAGGGCGGCAGTACGTGCAAAAGGGCTATCACAATTAGTGTATATTCCAATGGTTCGTCAACGTGCAGTAATGTCTATCTTGGTTGTGTCACAGTCATTCAGGAAGACCCATTGGGTCAGAAGGAACGGGTTGGGAAGGATGGCCTCAGGGGATCAGGTGCACAGGTTACTTACGGAGGTAGGTTTGGAATTGGCCATGACGCGAAGAGAAAATGATCATGAATTTTGATATGCTAGACAGATGCGGAGAATTGAGGTCGATGTTGAGAGTGGACAAGGTTATTTACAGGAAGAGGAAGTGCTGTTCCAATTTTGAGGTACGATTTCATGTGTTCCTTCCTCGGAACGCTGGAAACACGTCCAAGGGCTCCTTCCCAAATAGGACTTAAAGCCATAGTTCTAAATCTCCTGGTAGGTAAATGGGCTACTCTAGGAGTAGATGACGGGCGCTCAGCATGTAAACTCGCTATTAGACAAGTTGATACTCCAGAATCATAACGAGAGAAGCAAATGCTATGTGTAGGACCTTTTCTTGTCATATGCTAATTGTCAACGCATCTTTCAACATTCCTTGGTGATTGATATGAGCTTGTTGACGCTGCTCTGTCCGGAGGCTCGTGGAGGCTCGTCAATTGGAGGGTATATCCACGTTGTGGTTGTGTCGTATACTGCGTGCTAAATTGATAGTTGAAGGCAACTAACTAATGGAATGAAAAAAGAAAAAGAAAAAGAAACATATATTTGATTGGCATTGAGACGCCAAAAAAAAACAAAAAGGAATTGTAGTGCATCATCCGTGAATCGAACACGGGCCTCGTCGATGGCAACGACGAATTCTACCACTAGACCAATGATGCTGGTTCGATGTAATCAGGCCTACTGATCCATTGATATTCTAAACAGCAAAAGCAATTCTCTGCTTTCTCAGCCGAAAGACGCAAAAATTTGGTATTGCTTTTGGAGAATCAATATTCAATGGAGATACGAGCCTTTTCGGCTGCGTTAAATGGAAGTTCGACCAACAGAGAACGTATTAGCATATAGCAGTACCTGCCAGGCAAAGAGCTCGGGAAGAGCTCGGGTTGTATATATTTCACACGGCTGCTGCAGTAGGTCACGCGCAACAGGCAAGCTATCTCCTATATGCAAAAAGTGCCGACAACAGTCATAAAATGTCACATCAAGTGTTGATCACTTGGTCAAGTACTCACACTGGAAAAATAAGTCGAGGTTTCCTACTAAAATAGGTTCCTTTGGTCCGATGTCAAATGTTAGTGATAGGTCACCTTCTAGTTCTTTACTTCTGCGGTATATTCATGATACTTCCTCCTTTATGTTATTCAGTTACTATAACTTTCAACACTTCTGTGATTGATATGTAGAATTCAGTTGCTTTGTCGGGATTAATAGACTAAGACCCCCGGGAAAATGGCATAGTTAGTCGGGATAAACTAGGGCAGATCTAGCCCGTCGTGCAGTTCGATATGTACATATACCTTAGGCATATACTGCCTGGATGCGGGGCTGTTAATAAGCGAAATAAAAAGTGAGGGGTTACCCCATTGATCTCTGTTCGTGTCACTCCCTACCCCCCTCAATCGCAAATCAACCACGAAAACCAACATGACAATCTCCAATGATTTGCCGCCATCGCATGAGCGAGTTGTGCCGGGTTCCTGCAACCTCGAACTCGGCCAATTCCCCAAGACCATGTCGGAGTCAGAGTCGGATGTTCCACTCGACCCGAATGCTATTGCAGACAAAATCATCAACCAGCTAAACACGGGTCTCTCATCCAGAGACAAGGCAGCGGTCGCATCACTGTTCCTCGAGAACTGCTATTGGCGTGACCACTTGTGTTATTCGTGGGACTTCCGCACCCTCGAGGGGAGTCAAGCTATCGCTGCCTTTGTCACCGAGGCAGCACCCAGCAAAATCGAAATCGACCGATCACTTGACTTCAAATCACCACACAAGGCTCCTATTGATTCCTTTGGTGATGTTTTCGGAATCGAATTTTACATCAAGGTCACCACCGAGACTGGACAGGGAAATGGTATCATGCGATTGGCGGAAGATGATGGCAAATGGTACATCTTCACCGTCTTTACCTCTATGGTTGAGCTAAAGGGCCACGAGGAGAGCAAGGAGAGGCCGTTTGGTGTACGACATGGCGAGCAGCAAGGTCGAAAGAACTGGAAAGATCGACGTATTGATGAGATTAACTTCGAGGGAAAGGACCCGGCAGTATTGATAGTTGGTATGTGCTGATGAAGCGTTTTCCTCCAGAAGGCTTATGAAATCTAACTCGACGAATAAAGGCGCTGGCCAGGGTGGCTTGACTGCCGCAGCACGTCTCAAGATGCTCGAGGTCGACGCTCTCATCATCGACCGAGAAGAGAAAATCGGAGACAACTGGCGTCAGCGATACCACCAGCTCGTTCTCCATGACCCAGTGTGGTACGACCACATGCCCTATTTACCCTTCCCGCCCGACTGGCCCATCTATACCCCAAAGGACAAACTGGCGGATTTCTTCGAAACCTACGTCAAGTTCCGAGAGCTCAATGTTTGGACCCAAACTGAGATCAAATCGTCATCCTGGGATGAGGAAAAGAAGCAATGGACGGTTGTTCTCGAGCGGAAGACAGAAAACGGAACTCAGACGCGCACCTTGCACCCACGCCACATCGTCCAAGCTACCGGCCACTCTGGCAAGAAAAACCTACCCATTTTTCCAGGAATGGAAGATTTCAAGGGAGATCGCATGTGTCACAGCTCGGAGCATCCTGGCGCAAATCCCGAGTCAAAGGGGAAAAAGGCTATTGTCGTTGGATCCTGTAATTCGGCAAACGATATCGCCCAGGACTTTGTCGAGAAAGGGTACGATGTGACCATGGTGCAGCGAAGCTCTACCTGTGTGATGTCGTCTGAATCTACCTTGAAAATTGCCTTCAAAGGCCTCTATGATGGAACAGGCCCACCTACCGAAGACGCCGATATTTATCTGACCAGCGTTCCATCGCGCCTGTTGAAAGCGCAACAGGTCAAAGTCACCAAACTCACGATTCAGAACGACGCGAAGACGACTGAAGGGCTGGAAAAGGCAGGCTTCAAGGTCGACAACGGACCAATGGACAGCGGTCTATTGATGAAGTACTACCACCGTGGAGGCGGGTACTACATTGACGTCGGCGGAAGCCAGCTCATTATCGATGGGAAGGTCAAGGTCAAGCATGGCCAGGAAATTAACCAAGTTCTTCCCCATGGACTCCGGTTTGCGGATGGTTCAGAGCTTGAAGCCGATGAAATTGTGTTTGCCACTGGATATCAGAATATGAGAACCGAGACTCGTGTCATTTTTGGCGACAAGGTCGCTGATAGGGTCGGTGACATCTGGGGTCTTGATAAAGAGGGTGAAATGCGGACTATCTGGCGGCGGAGTGGTCACCCTGGATTCTGGTTTATGGGTGGCAACCTCGCTCTTAGCAGGTACTACTCCCGTCTGCTGGCATTGCAGATCAAAGCGCTGGAAGAGGGGTTGACTACTTGGTAGTTAGGAAGTGGGGCCTTGGGCTTGCGGCGGCATCAGCAAGAAGAATTCCAGCTTATGTGTTTCTATTTATGGCCGTAACCGGTCTGTGACAGTTAATCCAATATAAGTACTAGTAGCCCTAGGGCCGTCCACGGTACATGCATAACTATCTTCCCCCGGTAATGAATCAACCCAGCCACCCTTCTTGAGAAGCCACCGAGACACCCAAGGTCAAGACAAGAGTGTACAACCAAGTCTCCAAATCCGCCAAGCACCCAGAAACAGGCTCCGTCAACGCCAAACAAGTCCGAAGATGCTCCAAGATCGAAGTCTTCCTCACAAAAATCTCAAACCCGCCCCGAGTCATCGTAGCAACGCGACTCTTCCGGCGGATTTTGCGGTCAATCGCCATAAGAACAAACTGTTCATTATCTGGAGACCCGGCCGCATTTCCATCTGCGGAGAGTGTCCGTTTCTCCCACTGCATAATCATCCGACACTGCTCGGGCCCGGTTGTATCTTCTTCTTTTTTAATAACGAACCTATAAGTGCCTTTCTCAGGTACTGCTGAGCTGGCGCTGGCTTGCCAGATGCATTTTGTGTCGCGGAAGTAGATTGATGATGTGTGGTTGTCGCTGCTTGATGATTGGCACATTGCAGCGACGAGATCCTTTTCTTGGATATCATTTGAGTGCGTTTCTTGCTCTCCGGAGTGTTCTTGTCCATCTTGCCGTTTATTTATGACATATGGCTCATTGAGGGTTGCGTAGATATCCCTCGCGCCGAGCTTTGGGCGTTGCGGGAAACTTCTTGTCAATTTTGATTTGCGGAGTGGTGGCTGCCATATCTCTAATACTGGCACTGGTCGGTGGTTTGGAGGTAGTTGTTGGATTTGAAGGAGTAGTTTGGGGCTGAGTCGAAGTAATTGACTTGATTTTGGGGGCGGCCGGGCTATTTGGAACCTCGCCTGGATTTTGGTTTTGATGGGTTGAGATGATGGTCTGGGAATGGATTAGACATAATTCTCAGTGGAATGAGAGGATCGATATGCGCTCTTCTTCCCAGAAGTATTCTTACATACCGTTCTTCGCTTGATGTGTCGCTATCGTAGTTTCGCATAGTATCCGGGGACTCCATGGCGAAGTCCATATTGGCCGGTTCTCACAATTTGAAAGGCTGTAACACAGAAAAAAAAGAATATAGAAGGCTGAGAGCTAAAAAGTCTTATAGGTCTGAGTATAAATACAAGTAACTAGCTAGTCAGCCTTGGCCCTCCCTAGGTATAGCCGTATTCGTATCAAAATGCACGAGCCAGGGCAACGGGGTGGGTCTAGCAAAACTGGAAACTAGTACGAGTACGGGAGGTTTTCGTGTCTGAGGTTTTGTCTGAAAGAGACACAAATTCTCGCTGCCTGGTATTCCGTACATTTGACACCTGGCACGGAGTATAAGCTTGTGCCGTGTTTCGAAACTCTGCAGGCTAGGCATCTACAATTCCTTTTTCGAGGCCATGGAACGGCCCCAGGCTCTCCAAGTAATATTTTTAAGATATCTCAAGCTATCTTTATCCACTACGTACTCCATACTCTATACGGACTACGGAGTCCGTAGGTACGTTGGCCCATAGGATTTGTGGATCGACAGCCGTTTTAATGTTCGGTGTCGGGGTTTTCCGACCCGTGCCCGTGTGCCCTATGCTGGGTCGGGCAATTCACAGCCTCAACTTCAGGGCACCCATAGCCACCCCATATGATGACATCCCCAAATATCAGTGACTTCACAAGATATGACAGAGTGTCGTTCGGAAAGCTCGCCGAACACAAACCACTCCTATAAAAGTTTGAAGGCACCTCGCAAGCCGGCCAAAAATTCCTCCGACTTGATCGTATCAGCGGGAAGTTCGGTCGGGAAGGCCGAATTATGCATTTTATACCAATGCAGATCCCAAGCGTCTTGTGATCGAACTGTGTGGAGTTGAACATGCCTTTTGCCAGTATTGTACGGTAATTTTGCAAGACCTGCAACCCAAGCCCAGTCGTTGGGATGTTTCACGCTTCTTTGATTGCCGCAGGTCGGCGTTCATCACATCGTTTTCTCCATCCGTGATCCAGGCCCAAGACTCGCCCTGTCACTATGCCCTTCAGTGTCAGGATCTGTATGATCACCCAAATGAATACGAGTAGCAGCAAAAGGGCAGTGGAAAACACATCGAAGGCAGGAGAATCCATAAGCCTCCCAAATCCAACCGCAGCATTGGTAAAGGTACCCTAAAGAAATCGAATGATTGTTAGCACACCTCCCAAGAAAACCACAGAAATCAGCCTACGAACCCACGGAAAGACCACAGACCACACAGACATGGTGAACCGCGACTGCTTCCAGCCCCCAGGTTGTGTGTGCAGAGTATGACAGATAGTCAGGATGGCAAAGAACCACCAAAAGACCCCATACCCCCAGACAAGAAGACCGGTGAAATAGCTGATGAAAGCAAAGGGACCAGCCGCGTTTGCAGTCAGAATCTGACCGCGATCATACGCCGCAAAGCTCCCGGCCTCAACAGCCTCACCCAAAACCTGGAGCGCGACCGAAGCCTGTCCGCAAGGGCCGCACATGATCATATCCTGGTACACCGTGTCCGCTGACTGGGACGGGCGACCGAAGTACTGATAGAGTATAATGGCATCGTACGCAGCAACGAGGGCAAGGCCGGCGCCGACTTCGAGGTAGGAGACGATGATGCCGGGGACCTGGAGACGGGGGCTGATACGCGCGAGGCGACATATAACCCCGCCACCTGCGGCGGAGGTCAACGCAGCAAGAAATGGCATCAACATGTCCGCCTGCATGTGTCGTGTGCCCGACTGCTGCATCTTGAGGTGGATGAATGGGATCACCGTACAGGCGACTATGGCCATGCCGGTGTTTACCCACCACATGATGTAGATGGCCAGCCCGGCTGTATCTCCGTATCGGAAGACGGCTATCTGGAGGATGGAGGTGAAGGCGATGGAGATGCAGCAGAGGCATGATGTTTCGGCGCTGTTGTTCCGCAGCTGCTGTAGGACATGTCTTGGGTATAGGAATGTGCGTAAGAGATAGAGGATGAGGAATGAACCGAGCTGGACGATGGTGTAGATCCATACGATCGTGGCGAGTGTTGTGAGCCCGTTGAATTGGTATTTCAGTCGATTGAGTATCACGGCGATTATACCCGTTCCTTGGGGGACGATGAACCATAGCGATGAGAAATTCCACAGGGCGCGGGCCAGCGGACTCGCTGGTGGAGGGAGGTCTCCCCGGTCTGACATGTTTCTGTGGCATTCCCCTCAATTGGAGCGGAGAATGATCTTACGATATTTTGATCGATTCGAGGGACATACGATTTGGCTTGACGTCATCGGTCCAAGCTCGGAGCTGGGGAGCTATCTCTAGATCACACAATTGCTTCATTCGGTAAAGATAAAAAAGATTTCGGATTTGATTGGAGCTATACTGCGAAATATCAGATGCAGATAAAGCAAATGGACTGCAAGGCAATAGTTTTAAGATGAGTTGGGCGCAGATCCAGGGTCACCCCATACCGTAAGTCATAATCCCAACACGAAAAATTATCCAAACCACCGTGGCCGACCGAACCATAATACTCTGAAGCGTATGCCTAGTCCCCCGAAACCAGGCGAACTCATTCACATCTCAGTGCCTTTTTCCCTAAGAACTTTGAACCCATTGCTGTAACTCGCTGTAACTCCGTGCAACGCCAGTTCCTCCTTGTGTAACGCCCGTGTTCATTTCAGCAATCATCCGTGTAATTCGTGAGAAGGTAAGGGGAAAAGAAAAGGGAAGTTACGAGCTCCCTGTGTCTTTGGTGTCTTCGGTGTAAGTGGCGGGGCGATAGTTGCCCGGCCCCGCTGGAGGATCTAACCAACATCACAAGTCAGCGACACGATCGGTCAAAGAATCACCGGAACGTACAACGCGACTCCAGATCTCTTCCACCCCAGGATATCTGTCTCAGATTATCAAACCCTCGGGCTCGCACCTCAGCCATGTAGACCTTCTGATCGTAGCCCGGACTGAACGGGGTCTCTCCATCGGCGGGTTTGTAGTGCTTAAAAAGCGATGCTCCCAGTGCGGTTGCTGCGAGACAGGCGACGAGCACAATGACAATGATGGCTGCGTTGGAGAGCCCCATTGTGATAGAATTGGGAGAAAGAAAGTCTCAGTAAGATCGGGGAATTGCAGTTGGTGTTGTGAAGGCAGTTTGGATTGTAAGAGGTGGGTCAGTGCATGGTGGAGGAGAGCCTCCGCGATCTAGAAACCGTAGATGCCTCGCGATACTAGGGGCTGGCACCGATGCGACTGATGAAACGAGATAGATGAAGAGAGGAGGATATGGAAGAAAGAAGAAGAAAACAAAGGGAACAAATAAACTTCAAGGTCACAAGTTCACAAGTCTCGATCCCTCAGATTTGCAATCTGATGTGTTGTCTCTAGACGTGAACATCCCATTGGCCATGTTTTTGTCACAATTAATGTTCGAGCACTACATCTGTATCCACCAATCATTACATGGTTGTGTCGCATTTGATTGAAAAAGCCCAAAAATAGCACTGAGTTTAGTTCAAAGCTTGTCGTCGAGACTACATAGTATCTACTTTAATTGGTCAATTCATGTACATGACAGAGAAGGAGCGCGAAAAGAAAGAAAAGCAAAAGCCTAACATCAGAGGAAATAAAACAATGAAACACCGCAAGTCATCCCGTAGGCAGCAGCCAAGGGCATGTGATAGAGTTCGAGTGGTCTCGCACCGAAAATTTATTGAAACAACAATCAGTACAAGGTCGTAGGTGTGTATCTACATCGAAAGTCACTGATATTCTTCAAGTATAGATCGTCAGGAGACATAATACTTGCGAGCAACTTAATGATCCTTCTTTATTTTCCCTATCGGCTATGTCAAATTATCTCTCTGGCACAATATAGGGTTGGATCGTTGATTTTAAAGAGTCAGAAATAAACAGTCTTTACATGATTTAAAAGCCCAGTCCAATTTTGTCTTATTGGTCCTATGTGATGTCTCCCACGTAAAACAAGAACTACGTTGTATTTGTACAATAAGCGTCGTTCCGACTGGAGAGCTTCTAGATTTCTTCATGTCACAAGTAGGGAACCAGGCAAAAACACTTAAAGAACAATGTCAGTAATGCTCAATCACATACCCGCCAAAAGAAGAGTATCTATTATCCGAGAAAATTAGCTGCCGGGAGTTAGTCAAGCGAATCAAGGTATGCTCTCAGACATCCTCAATATCGAACCGAAGGTTGTATTCGGCTATACCAGTACGGAATGTCACGATCCGCGGAATCCGCTTGACCCCCTGACCATATGCACATAAGATAAAGGCTGCCACAACTTTACCAATTGGAGTACCAAGAATACCGCAAAACTCCGGCGAAGGAGACACCCAGGTCTGCGGCTCCTTAGGGGGATACTCAAGCCCCTCCCGGGGCTTGTAAATATGATCGCGAATAAAAGGCCTGGTCTCCTTTTGAATTACAGTACTAACAATAACACACCTCAGGCTTTCCAAGGGAAAATGCGACTCATAGATAGCCTTGGTAAACTCGGACATGTAAGGGTTCGTGGGATTCTGTGACCTCTTGATATTATCTATGAATATCACGCCAGGTCCGATTCGCCCCATCCAGAATGTATACTCGCCTTTGATTTTCACCACTGATTGGTCCCGATATATAGGTCGGCTGCTTGCTGGGTCGTCAACTGTTAGGCCAAAAATATTAGCCCAGCCCACCCATTCCTCTGTAAGGGGCTCCGGGCTGGAAACGGCATGCCAGACCGCAGGATCGAGTTTTCCGAGAGTAAATGTGGTTCTGGGAATATAACATCCGGGCTCATCAGCACGCTCCATCCATCGTCGGAAGGTATCGCCCCATGGCTCAAACTCGGGGTACTTGGGCGCCATTGCGATGAAGTTGGCTCTAAGCTCACGAAACCAATTGAGATTGAGAGGAATATGTTAAGTGCTTACTCACTGAGTCAAATTCCTTGGGAGCTTGTTGATATCCTTGACAAATGATGTCCTGTGTTGGTTTTAGACTAAATGATCCGGTGCATCGAGCATTCTTATATGGCTTTAGTTAGCTGAACATAGGGACAAAGAGAAACAAAGAGCATAATCACTACTATTGTGCAGGATACGGCACATTCAAGACAATTGGACTCGGGGAATTGACGAAGGATCAAGAATAAAGGAGTCAAAGAGCCATTCGAGCAGCGCTACGAAGATGAAAGGACGCAGTCTAATACAGAAACTGAGGTTGTCGGCATTATACAAAATCCAAATTCAAATATAGTCACCTTCTTCTATTTTTCTGTCTCACAGCAGTGTATAACCACAAAGTATGTAGTCGTATCATCCAATAAGAATGTTTCCTCCTTATTGGTGTGTTCACTGTTGCCTTTCCTCGAATGCCGAAATCTTGGCTAGGAATTACAAGGCATATCCAATAGCCGCTCGGTCTTCGCGGAACGCGGCCCTGCTTGCCCATCTGTCATATAGGGCGGTACCTGCAGTTATGCTGTTTCGACAAACATCTTTGCGACGTACTTATCCCCGATCTCACAATACTTGATCGGAGACATTCAACCTGTATGTAGTAGTAGCCAATAATCTAAGACGCTTGGCGGTTTTGCTTAGCTTGGTGACGTGTGTCGAGGCTTCAATCTTTCCTAGATTCTCTGGGATGTGTAGGCAGGCATTGTCTCGGTCGAGACTTAGACATCGGTTTCGTGTGCTGCTGGTGTGTTCATTCAGGATGTGCTGCCTGCACGTGTCGTAATTTTGATATGACGAGCGTACGAATTCGACTTCCGGGTCGTGTCGGTCGAAGAGCTCGTCAGTCTCTCAGTTGCATCTCGATCTATATCGGCACGTGCTCGCGTGACATGGGCCCGGAGGCCCAGGGGGCTCTTTCAGCACCAAGCAGAACTCGCCAAAGTCATTGTGATTGACTCGCTGATGGCGGAGCAGGGTTTGTCAGGCCAGTAAATGATTGATGGGCATGGAAGAGACAGACGACTGAGGCCGTCATTGTCACAGGGCATCTGGTTGTAAACGTCTCGGGGATGCCCGTCGATCTGGATATGGTGATAGATAAACCGGATAATCGAGCCTTGCCGTACTGATGGTTGACAAGCACTGCTTGGTTGACTTAGGCGAGTTGTGCATGCCCCCAAAGAGCCTAGTGTTCTCTTCACCCCTGCGGAGACGCATCAATGCAATGGCCACGTCGACGACGGTACCATTCCAGTATATCATCCCACACAAGGCGGAAAGGTAGTCGGCATCAGATCTGGCGAGCATGATGCCATCTAACTAGAGAGCCGAAAAGCCCGAGTGTATTGGGTTGTTTACGGCATAAAACAGAGGATCTGAGGAAATCTCTCATGTCTAGCAATGTATCGACTGCAAGGTTTTAGAGCCATGCGACACACATCTGCCCCCAAGGCCTGGCGTTTTGACTCGGCAGACTACAGCTACCTATAGTGTATATAGCTAGGTACATAGAGACACATGTCTAACTAAGGTATCTCTCAGGTGCTCTGCAGTGCGAGTGTTGGAGCACAAAAGTGAGACTATTCCTTCTTTGCAAGTTCGACAATCTACTAGGTAGAGATCCAGCCTGCAGCAATGGACCTCGGGACTCTCGGTCTGGAACTCAAGTTTAAGGCTGAATAGCCCTTTGGTCCCTTTTCGGTAGTAGTTCCTGCCATTTTAGATTGAAGTGCTCAATAGGCTCAATAGTAAGCTCCGGGGGACAATGGGCTGTCTCGTCAGTCGCCCCTGCCTAAAATGGGAGTTCAATGGTCGAGACACATAACGTGTGCCCATTGTGTCCGTCCTTTCTATGCGTGCAGTACCTTCCGTTTGGGGGACCCTGGGTTTCCTATAAATACTCCTCTTCCCTCACTTTTTTCTTTCTTTCTTCTCTATTCTCCCTTCTCTTCTCAAGTTACCAACCCAGTTTTCACCAGCGCCTCCTGCGCTGTGACCTTTCTGCTCCCCCCGCATCCTCGCCTCGCGGCGTTTTTATTTTTATTTTTAAAAGTAAGTCTTGGATCAATCAATTCCCCTTGTACCCCATGCTCCTTCTACCCTATACCCCTTGTGCCCTAGTCCTCTTCTACCCGGTCCCCCTCTGTTGACTCGTATTGACACACATGCTAATGCCTTTGTCTCTTGCCTCCGCAGAAAAAAAAAGTAATCAAAATGTTGATCCCCTTCTTGGGGATCTTCGTGGGCATGACTCTCTGGAGTCAGTGGTTTCCAATGCCGGGATTCACTGCTCCAGGGCAGTCGTTCATGCGGCGTCTGTCTGGTACGTTCCAGCTGACGATGGAGTCTTGGGCCTTCTGTGAACTGGTGAACGCTGCTGCCTCCAAGCGCGTACACGCCTCCCAGCGCGAGCATCCTGTATGGGGGTCGCATCCTCACGTTGGCCATGGGTATGCAAACTCGACGGATACAGTTCTTAACCTTGACACGGATGTCATCGTCCGGCCTGGTCTGTTCGATGATATGCCCCGCTGGTTTTTAAGCCCGTTCCTGGTACCCATCCAGGTCTCGCCTTGGTCAGGTGACGGAGTGACATCTTCTGATCCGGAGGAATTTGTCGACATCCACAAGCCTGGGGCCAAGCCTGAGCAAGGCTTCTTCGCGACGTTGTTGTTCATCGGCATTTGGTGCTTTGTTCAAGTCCCCTGGGCTTTAATTGCTTACCAGCGGCAATTGTACTCCGGTCTTGATACCTTGCTTGAGTGGATTCTGAAGGTTCTCGAGGGCCAGCCGCAAATTGCGCGTGTGCAATTTGTGGCCGAGGAGGATTCGTCTTCGTTCGACAAGGAGATGGATCGTCTGATCGCGGGCCCAACGGAAACGGATGAGGAAATTCTTTCTTGGGTCATGGCTGCCGACAATCGTCCCGAATCTGTGTCTCACGTGTCGGTTCTCTCTCAGTTTCGAGGTATCTGGGTCCACCGGATCACCAAAGGCCTGGGAGATGAGCAGTCACTGGACCCAGAATCGGCGTGCAATACCTCCAAGCCGGTTGACACTACGGATGACGCTCGCACGAACTTGGTCTCTCGGCATCCTTGGAACTCGATTGATCTCTACGCCTCCGACCATGATGATTCTCCGGCTCCGGCTGAGATTCCGATTGGCAACGGTGCGGAAGATGAGCGTCCTGATTCCACCCCAGCGTACTTCAGCAGAAGAAACCGTCCGTCGCAAGCACAGAGACGTCGCCAAGCAATGAGAGCACGACAGGAAAAGAAGGAACTTCAACACTCCAGTGTTTTAGCCTCTTACGCTTCCAGTGCTTCTCTTGCGATGTCTTCAAGCTCGACGCCTTTGTCGGCTTTGGCTCCGGTCTTTGTCCCTGGTCGTTTGGTGGAGCAGGATGATTCGCAGAGTGGTCCTCTTTCTTCAGCCCCCTTGTTCACGGATGTGAACATTGATCCTCTTACGGACTGTGGTATGACTTCGATTGATGACAGCGCTCTTCACTGTTCCGCCCCCCGTCCCCGCCGCCGTCGTCGTCGGCAGCGTCATGCCTAGACGCTTTGGTGGAGGTGGGACATGTACCAGCGACAAAGTGTCTGAGTGGGACACCTTGAAGGAACTCCTCTCTTCGGAAGGTTGTTTAGGTCCTTCTTGGCTGTCCTGCAGCGCTTTTGTCTGCTAGTATATGGTGTGCTGGGGCTGCATCAAGCGTCCTCAGAAGCTTTCCGTACGTGGTTGGGTTGCAGATTGAGTTGACTGGCCAATATGTAAGTAAACCCCCAATCCCTTTTGAGACACCAGCGCTGACAATCCTACCCTAGGCATCCAAAAAAGAAAAAGAAAAAGAAAAAAGAGACAGGAAAAAAGGAAAACAGCAAGATCCAAAACAAAAAGTACAAAAGCCAAAAAAGAGAGCGAGAGAGAAATGAGAACAGAAAATCGGCAAAAAAAGAGATCTGCTCTCACTCTCACTTCACTTTCACTTCATTCTCACCCTCGCTTGAGGTGAGATCTCTCTTGCGACATTCTTGTCTCATGTCGCTTTTGCTTCGGTTTTGCTTTGATTTTTTGTTGTCTGGGCTCTGCGAGTTGCCCTTCTGATTTCTGTTCTTCGGCCCTCGAGCACGGCCACGTTTACACAATGTTCTTCTCTGCCCAGGTGCGCCTCATTGTCCAATTTAGGTTCAGTCCAAGGCCGCGACCATTATCTCAAAAAGTGAAAGTTGCACCAGTCAATCTTTTTTCACGGCGGGTGGACTGCATCTTCTCAGTCGACCATCTCGCCCTCGTCTGCGTCAACAACCAAACGGACTCTCGCGCCATCTCGCTATCCATGATGACTTGTGGAGAAGCGAATTAAAGACACGTCTTGATTGCCTTTCGCCTTCGCCAATTCCTTCGCCAATTCCATTCTACTGGGTTCACGTCGATGCTCTGTGAACACTATACAATGTACTGCATTTCTCAGCAGCCTCTTGGCACCGAGGTCGGGCTGAGTTCATTCCTTCGACCGTCCTTTTGTAGGACAATCCTACAACAATCATCAAAGCTGCGTGGTTCCAGCCACATGAATCCACGGTCATCAATCGTCCAACCAACATGGAAACAGCGTCAGTTTTCCCACACGGCCTCTGGGGGGAGGACCTGACTGAACAAAACTCCAGATTCTGCGCATTGGACATCCTCTATCTTCTACATCAGCAAGCCCGGCACATCATCAGCCAATTCTGTGCTTTTCTCATGATACCTGGAGAAGATCTCGGCTGATTCATCTTCTTGATGGTGGTTCGTGGGACGGTAATCAACCCTGCTTGTGCCGTGAACACCACCCACCATCTTTTGCATCGCTCACCTCACCAACTTAATTGCAAGGAGGAAAAGATGCCGAAAAAGAAAGACACCTCCACTGAGATTGTTGGACGGCTTCAGTTGGACGGATTTTGAGAGAAAACAAAACAACTCTACGTCAATTTACCATTACCACACATCTGCCGGTCAACTCGGATTGAGCTGCTCTCCACTGGGCTTTGAGACAAGCCTCTGCTAGATCAAGAGCCCGGTTGACCATCAATCCGACCTTCAACTTTAATTAGCTTCCACTCCAATTCAACGAGCATCAAATCAATTCCGGTTCAATCGTCTGAATTTCTTTCCAAAGGTTGTCGCACATTAGCTCACTGGAAGGTAAACCATTATCAATTCTTTTACTCTGTGCGTCTTCGGAGCAATTTCCAAATTACAAACCTGCTCGCCAATATCCTTGAACCTGCCTTGCAGCTCCTTCTTTCTTTCCAAACACTTTTGTCCTCCCTTCAGACCTTGGAGTAGGGCTTCCGGACAGAAAATTCAACGACTTTCGGAATCACTTTCCCACCTTCATCCGACTTGGGCATTCAAAAAGAAGGAAAAGCTCTTGATGAGGAACAAACAAAATTAAATCAAATATTCTTTCCAACCTTGGAAAAAGCTGGAATTTGTGGTATGTCATGGTCGCTCTTTACTTCCGTATCTCAATTTCCTGACTGTTAGGGCTTTTCCAGGACCCGTGACTCCTTCCATCGATTCATCTGTCCTCCCAGCGTTTCCTTTCTCCAACCGGTTAAACTCCAGATTTGGTGCATGTACTACAAACCATGATGGGATATCAAACATGGTGGTACAAGGGGATATTAAAACTGGGATGAACATGCATTCCGTGTCTCAGGCGTTGTGCGGGTTCCTTGTGTTTTGTTTGTACAGATCCAGAATCCATTGGAACTGGCCGGATCTTTTTCGTTGTTACAGTGATACCCCACAAAGCATGACCTTTTGTTGATTTTTGACTGTCTTGTTACCTTGGTCAATTCAATAATATTGTTCCGTTGTGATGGACGGTTGTTCTTGTAAAAGGTCCAGTTCAAGAGCAGCTGTTCTCCAATAATAGCAGACTCAAAATGTAAAATAAAGGTGCAGTTGAGAGCTGCCAACTGGTAGACTCCGCAGGATTTTCCTCTGAATGCCCTGGGTGTGTAGAGGAGTGAAGGGCTACTACTACGACAATGGCGTTTTTGAGTGACAAAATGGCCAACAGCGAGGAAATAGTAATTCTTCTCAACATATAAATCGTCTGACACCCTCCCATTCAAAAAGTACCACCATTACAGTCCGAGACAATGACAGAGCCATCTGCCGATTGAGACACACCCGAGGAACGGATAGTCAGACTGCCAGCTACAGATAAGACAACATCGACAAAGTGGGACCAGGTCTCGGTCAAAGCTACATGACATGGCACTTCCCCCTTCGCTTACGACTCCGCTCCTTGATTGTGTTATCATTCCAATCCTGAATCCGCCGGCGCCATTCCTCGTTCGTTGGTGGCGGTAAGCTACTGGGTTCGGTTGAAACCCGCCTCTGGAAAGACTGCTGCCTCCGAGGTATCTCATGCTCGTCGTCTGCTGCAGTGCCCTGTCCGTCTTCATATGGCTGTGGGATGTGGAGAAGGTTTGGCGATGATACCGAGTATGGAAAGTAGGCATCGCCAAGTGCATCGCCCAGTGCCGAGGCCCCCAAATATGGAAGAGGCATGGTGTTTTCTTGTGGGGGTATTTCGGCTGGATACACAGCAAACGTAGGCGTAGTGGATTGGTTCGCTGTAGGTGGACGCGAAGCAGATCGAGGCTGCTCTGGTGAGAAGTCGTTTGTGAACGAATCCTGGGGTACCAATTGATCTGGGTTAAAGTCTCTGCCAATGGAACTTCCCCTGCGCCTGGCGCCGGTTATATTGCCTATTCTCTGTAAATTGAGAGATTGTGGGCGGGTTGGTTGTTGCGCGGCAGGCACGGTTTCTTCTCTTCGAGGGAGGAGGGAAGAATTGGCGGCATTGACTGGGGGGAGAAGCAGTCGCTGTAGATGATCTGGCAACGGGTCCACTGTCTCGCGTTTGTAAGGAGGAGGAGGTGGCACCCAATTATCGGCGTCACTCTCATGGGGAATATGTCGAGGGTTGTGAGAACTACGATACCGAGGGTCGTATCGCCCACGGGTTGATGCAGCCGCAGTGGCAGCTCGATGGAGAACTTCACTGGAACGAGGCTGTGTATTGTCATATGGAAGGTCGATTATCTCGCCTCGAGTAGTCTCGCTGGGAGAGGTAGGAATGGCAAGACTGTTGCGGCGGAAGTGAAGGGGCAGAGCTCGGGATTCTCGAGTAGTCGCTGAATGACCAAGGGCCGCGAATGTCGTAGCAGTATCGCCACGATGTAGTCGTGTTCGCCTTCTTTCAAGCTCTACTTCCGTGGCCAAAGAGGAACCCGGCTCCATAAGAATCTTGGGCGCCGTTTCACCGATTTCGATGTCAAGCACAATCGCTTCACCGTTCATAGTAGAGCGCTCAAAATCAAGGAGAAGAATTCGACCACCGTCGACTGGGATATCTTCTCTGCCAAAGTTCTGTGAGCGCACTCCACCAGGCGCTACCGCGACGAGTCTCCGACGGCGTCTTGAGTCTGAACGCACCCAATGAGCGGATGTGATTCCGTGCATGTCACTCACCCGTCGTCCCCGGATCAAGATCTTAGGTTGTTGAACGATCTTCTGAAGCTGTGCTAGATTGTCGCGAGGAGCGCAGGCTCCATAATGGTGACCACCGCCAATCTCGGTACCAGTGATTTCACTAGCACCCAACCCAGCCATCCCATATATCCATAATTCTGAATCTTGAAACCCCAAAGCAGAAAGTTCTGCCGCATCATCCGTGGCGGGTCTCATGCTTGGCCGCATTTCCCGAGATTCATCTGTGAGGAATGGACTGGCAAAATAAACGATTCCCGCATTCTTGTTTAATTGAAGCGCCCTGAACGCCCCCAATTGTTGGTCATATCCCATTACCCAGTGATCGTCAGCTTCCTCATGACCAGCAATAAGGGAGACGTGAGTGATATGGCAGCCAATTGTTTCAGGAAAGAGAATTTGTGTTGTCCACATTCGCATCTCGAGTTCTTCGGGTGAGGCGTCCGTTCCGGTCTCAGTATAGAAAGGAGGGGTGATGGTGACGATACCTTCAGCTGCAAAGCCAAGAAGCATTGCTCCATCAGGCGAAAATGAAAGTGCGTCGACACGGGGACAACGCACCGCCCGGCGGTCGGTAGGCAAAGCCTCTTCACCCACAGCATATACCTCAATACTATCCTCAAAGGCTAAGGCTAACACACTACCTGCCGGAGAAAATTTGATGTCCCTTGGGGCATCATTCAGCGTGATAACTTGGATGTGCTTGGCTTCATCGTCTGAGAGCTGGTAGATATGAACTCTATGCGTGGAAGACAAAACAGCAATGAGTGAGCCATCATCACGGATTGTGGCTCCCAGTGGCCGCCTTCGAGTCTCCAGCTCATGCTTGACGGCGACTGGGTCATTGGCCACGTCTAATATAACAATGCGAGAAGAGCTGATGCAGAGAACCAATTGACCATTTCCAGAAAATGAGAATCGAAAAACTTCACCCTGTGGGAACGCTGTCGATGAGCTCATAGAACTTGAGATTAGTCGCACGAGAGTTTGCCGGGGTCGTAAAAATGCATCGAAAGCGTTCTGCCTGACCTCCTTGACAAATTGGCGCTTGAGTTTAGGGAGGTTTTCTGTCTCAGAAATGACCCCGCGAGCCCAGGAAAATGATGAACAACGTGACAACTGATAGGCATACAATGCCTCGGAATCGGATGCATGCTTCCATCTTCGGTTTAGTAGAGATAATGATGCAAATGTATTGGCATCGGAAGCATACAGGATGCTATTGATTCAGTAAGAATTGCAGTCAATGGCTGACCGTAAGGTCACATGTCGGATGAACACAAGGTTGCGACTACCGAGTGAGATAGTAACTTACTGCTCAATCACATTAAGTGGTAGCCGATCAAAAGACGTCTTTAGGCTGGGCGACGCAGAAGAGCCCGCTTGATGGACGAAAGTGTCCTCGGTGGGGGAGGTATCCTCCATGATCACCGCTTTGTACCTACATACAACAGATCAGGCACGCCGCGGGCATTGTTGAGAGAAAGACGACCTTGTGGCTGTGCAGTTTCTCGCCCCATGAGGCAATGCGGGACACCGTCAATGAATCAACTATGCCGATCGCATGCATTGTCCACGCCAAGTCCAAAGATAAAAATAGAAAGGGCCTGAGGCAGAAAACCATTATATCAGCAGGTTCACGTGGGATGAGTCAGCATTCCCCACACGGATCCATCCAAGGAATGCCGGCAGTTCAATTTTCTGATAAGAAAACGAGATCGCCCGATTCTGATATCTGGGGAGACTGTACAAGATGATGTGCACGTAACTTTGACTCATCTCGGATCCAGTTCCTTAGTGATTGAGAGCTCCCAATTTCATCCTTGCCTTCTTCTCCCCATTTTGCAGGCCGCGTGCTCATAACTCTACCCCTCACCGTGTTCAACCGCTAATCGGCCGACTCCGAAAACACTCCGACCAAAATCTCCAAATCACCATCTTTCGCTTTCCCCGTATTACCTCATCGGCATAACTTCACCTTGGGCGTGCATCATGTCGCCTGCGCCAGTCCAAGTCAATTCCTCCTCCAAGCTCCCATCTCCCGGATTCAATGCCGGCGCCCGACCGTACCGTTCCCACAAGGTCCGCGCCTGCGACTTATGTCGCAAGCGCAAGTCTCGATGTACGGTTGATATCCCTGGTCAATCATGTCTTCTATGTCGCGTGCAAGGTGCCGACTGTCACTATCAGGAGGAGGCCAACGCCGATGCTTCGGTCTTGAGTGCCCCGGACTCAAAATCCTGGCCGGGGCCCCCAGCGATGGAGCCCGTACCGGGACAGAAGCGTAAACGCAGTGTCGATGAACTTGCCCACATGGGCCAGAATATCCCGCCCCGGCAGCCGACCAATGGGCCCAGCCCCCATGGAACGACTTCGTCGGGTGGTCGTCGAGGAAGTGATTCGCGGCGGAAAGATATGGACGATCCGCAGAACGAGTCGGTTCTCATTGTTGGCCCTATGGTCGCTGAAGATGCCCAAGTCATTGAAAAACACATGCCCCCAGAGCGGATGAGCCAATCGGAAGAGCCCAAGAGTCACCCGTACAATATCTACTCTAGCGATCCGCGGAAACCAGTCCTTTACACCACGATCTCGCGGCGAAGGAAAGGTATGCGGAGAGGAACACCTCCTGGTGAGAACCAGAAGGAGGTCCTCGAACAAATACTTGGGCCGTTCAAACACGACCTAGTGAGACTGTATGTTGACTGTTGGTCTTTCCCCCATTTTCTACCCTATTAATATTTTCCCTTCTAGCTTCATTGATCGTTTTAACGTTTCTTTTCCGATCTTCGATGGCGAATCGTTCTGGGAATCATACATTACCGATGACCTGCACGACCCACCAGCTGCACTAGTGTGTCAAGTCTATTCCATGTCCCTCGTATATTGGAAGCACGCACAAAAACTTGCGTGTCATCCGAAACCCGATGTTCGATATGCGATCAACATGACCGTCGCAGCTTTGCATGAGGAATTCTCAGCCCCCGGATTAGACACAATCAGCGCTGCGCTTATCGACCTGACTGGACGACCCATTTTCTCTATGACAGGCAACGCGGTCAGCTGTGGACGCATGTTATCTTTGGCAAATTGCCTTGGTTTGAACCGTGATCCTAGCAATTGGAAGCTTTCACAAGCAGAAAAGAATCAGCGGATTCGTCTGTGGTGGGGAGTTGTGATTCACGATCGTTGGTAAGATTGTTCTGCATTTCTTTTGGCTTACAACAAACCTGACAATAAATAGGGGAAGCTTTGGTCATGGTGTCCCACCTCAGATTTCCAAAAATCAATACGATGTGCCTCTGCCTACAGTGGACGTATTAGTCCCATCAAATCTCCGCACTACGGAGCGTGTGAGAGCAGCACATTGCCACATCTACCTATGCCGATTGACCGAGACTTTGGGCGAGCTGTTACCACTGGTCTATGGGTTGCAACACAAACCCGCACGCGAGACATCGAAGAAGCTCAGACAAATACGAACAGATCTAGATATATGGGAAGACTCCCTACCGGACTGGTTGAGAGGACCCACAGTCCACCCCGGGGAACGAATCTATGGAGCAAGCAGCTTGCAACTCGCTTTCTTAGCTGTCAAGATGCTTGTCAGCCGAGTTGAACTAAATGTGAGCCGAAGAGGAGAGAAGTCGAAAGAAGTGATCTCTAACAACCTTGCAGGAAGTCAACAACTCCGAAACGGAAAACACCGAGGCACGTCGCTATTTCCAGACGGAATGCAGAAGGTCGGCAGAGGAAATTGTTGGATTCATCACGTCTTTGCGAAAAGATAACTTCAAAGAGTTCTGGCTACCCTGTACGTCGAAGCATCCTCTCTGGTCATTCCTTGTTTCCTAATTTTCTTGACAGATAGCGCCTTTCACCTCACGTCGACGGCGACATTGCTGGTTCGTTGTGCATTCGAGACCACCGACAGCGATGTTGCACGATCTTGTCTTTCCAATGTCGAAACTCTGCGCTCAGTCTTACGTCGTGTGCGGGAAGAAGAAGACTGGGATGTAGCAGACATGTGTCTGGACCACTGCGAACGCATTATGCACCGTCTGCCCGGAACCGGCGCTACAATGGACCAGGCATTCACAGCCACGATGGCAGATAGCGGGCTGGTCAACCCGGCCGCCATATCGCTGCCAGAGACACAAACAAACAACGATATCGTTGATGACATGATGTCGATATCTAATACTTTTGGAACGATGGACGGTTTCCCCTTTGACATGACAGGAATATGGGATGTCTCCGTCTTCCAAGACGTGAACCTGACATGATCAGAAGATCATTGAACATATGCTTTTAAATTCTTATTTTCAACAATATATACCCTGGGATCCAAAGCCCAACAACCTTGACATCAGTCCAATCTCAGTCTTTCTCATATTAAAATTTCTGACTAAAATTTTGTACAAAAAAACTATCAAACCCCAAACCCTATTTTACACTCGTCCATTAATGCCCAGAACGAACCCCTGATGATCTATCTGTTAGACACGCAAGAAAAGTAATTGGCTCGCGTCGATTACTGTTCCTTGGAGCCAGCACCGAACATGCCAGTGAAAGAGCCCTTCATGCTCTGCATCTGTTCCTGGCGGGCCTTCTCCTCCTCGGCTGCCATCTCAGCGAGCCACTTCTCGCCGTTTATGCGGATCTCTGACTCAATCATCTCGTAGTTCTTTTGACCACGCTCGCGGATCTGATCCCAAAGCATCTTGCCCTGAGCCAGACCCTCGGAGGGTGACGGCTCGCCGCTCAGAGTGGAAGACTTCAAGCCAAGTGCAGCAGCAAAGTTACCCAGACCACGCGAGGGCTTCTTCTTCTGCTCCTCGGCAAGGTCCTTCTCAAAGCGCTCACGCATCGCCTTCTCGCGCTTGGCAAACTCGACGGGAATGGGAGTGCCATCAAACGACTTCAGCACGGTACGCACATCTTCGACGCCCATACCAGCGAGATATTCCAGGAAGGGAATGAGGGCGACCAGCGTCTTATCTTTCGGGTCGCCAGTCCACTTGTCTAGAATAATGGCGTTCTCGGGCTGGTGGCGGGCGTGCTCCTCCTTGGTGTCGATGAGAATAACCTTGGAAAGGTCACGGTTGAGATATTGCAAATCCTAGAAGACAATTAGCATTATATTACTGGAGAAAAAGAAGAAGTTCGCATACCTTGATGTACTCTCCATCCTTGTACCGGGTCGCCTCGCGGAACAGGGGCCAGCGGATGATGCGGTAAGGATCGAGTTTGCGTAGGACTTGGTCGGCCATCATACTGGGCACACTGGTGAACAGGACGAGCTCGTAGTATTGGTTCAGGTAGCGGAGGAAGTAGTCGACACCAGGCCGCTTGGCAACCCGCCATCCGTGCTCACGGGTCCATTCGCTGTGAACAAGGAGATCCTCAAGACTGAGGACCAGGGTGTATGGCTGACGCATCTCGGCGTCCTCATCCGGAAGCAATTTGGGGAAAGCAGGGTCCTTGTAGTAACTGGTGAGATCGCTGGTGCGGGCCTTGATACGGTTGTACCAAAGACCCGGACTCCATCCAGATGGGATCTCAGGGTGTTGCTGAGCCTCCTCTTCGGTTTCCCAGTTGCGACCCAAGTAAACCATACCAGCGACACCAGCAAACAGCATGGCTGCGTATACTATATTGGCCATGCGTGCCTTGCGGCGGTCGATAGATGTCTCATATCCGCCCTTGGGGATGTCACCACCTCCTCTACCTTCCGCGTCATACTCTTCTGACTGGGTAGGGTCTTCTGTAAGGTTCAATGGCCCCTTCTTCATACGCCCTTCCAATTCTGCGGCCAGCGTCGATGGAATACCTTGCGTCAGATCGGGGAGAGGCTTCTGTGGGGGTTGTTCGGCCTAGAAAGACAACGTCAGAGGGGATTCCTTTCTGTAAAAGGTAAAAAGAGTCTCACAGGTTCGGAAGGTTGTGTAGAAGCTTTCGTATCAAACTCGGGTTGCTCTGCGGCGAAATCTTTCGGAGCTGCTTTGGGAGTATTCGACTTCGATTTATTCGACTTCGCCCTTAGCTGGATACCCGGGGAAAGCTTGTAAGCAGCGTACGGCGAAGGCCGCGCCGACAGAGTCGATGCCCGAACGGCAGATGCGAAGACAGTTGGCCTCCTTAGAGGCAAGACTGCACGACTAAGCATTGTGTATTTGGTTGAAACAACTATGTCCTGAATGATGGGATGAACCACAGTCTCCCGTTAAAAGTCGGCGCGACTCGGTACGGCCGCGGATCCGGACCATCCGTGCAGTTTGTTTATATATCGACCGCCTCGGCCATCGAGTCTTCTCTTTTTTTCTTTTCTTCTTCAGAAAGTTCACCCAGACATTAATTTGCCCCGTCAAGCGATTTCTCTCTGCATGCCGGGTTGAATAGCTGGGGAGACCAACGAAGATATC